GGTGAGCCTGAACTGTTAGTCCATCAACAGGAGCATTGCTTGAGGCTTGTTCACCCAGAGTGAGGTCACCCAACATGACTAGAATTGGTGTCATCTTGGGCCTTGGCCCATATCTACAGGGTGAGACCCCAAATTCTCCCCAGATCTCAGGTAATTCTTGTACTCACTACAGTTCAAGTAACCGCTAGGAAATCCTGAAGAATGGAGGGCTTGGCACCTCCAAATTTCATTTCTGTATATGAGTTTTCAGATTCACTTTTGAAATGTTGACTCTTGGTCAACTCCAATTTTAGCAATTGTGTCCACAGCTACAAGATAACCTAGAAACCTCAGGCTTCTTGTCCAGATAGTGAAGCTGATGCTCTGCTGTCAACACAAGTCTCTGATTGGTCTACTTGCTCTCACAGAGAGCATCCTTGTCCCACACACATGTGGAAATGTTCTGTGAACAAAGCCAGTGCATTTTCTCATAAATAGACTTTACATTTTCCTAAATGCTAGGAACAGCTGTTTAGTTTAGGTCCCAGGTTTCCTGGCTCGCAAAACATACAGGATAATCGTGAATTAGGTTTTTTTTCTTAGAGCAGTTGTAACAGCTAGCTACCTCTCACGGAGGGGAGAGTTCTCCACACCTGACTTGGAGTGGATCTGTCTGCTCGTGGTCCAGTCAATCTGGGTTTATACAAAATTTAGCCCAGCTTTGCCAAACAATTGAATAATTTGACCTGCTGCGTGGAGTTCTTTGGTCCTGGCCACTTAAACAATGGAAATTGTCTGCCTCACATAGTAACTTCAGATTTGCCACGGTTGTGAGCTTTTCTTTCTTCTTAAATAATTACCCAACAAGAGCAGCCTCTTCTTAAGGTAGTCCTCCCTAGCCTGTAAGAACATAACCAGATGGCAGAACAGTGATACTCAGCATGGCTCACATTTTAATCCCCCAGGAAGCTTTGCAATGGATTATTTGCTGAGAGTACCAATAGATGTGACTTAGTGGATCTTGAGAGCAGGTTTTGGTACACATGGCGGTAGCCCCAGTGACTCTAACTTGCAGCCGGATTTCAGAACCACAGCCCTAGAGCTGCGAAGGGTTATGTCTCCTGACTTAGTGTTCACCTACTGGGTAAAGCTGATAGCCATGACATGATTACTCAGATACATTAAAAAGAAAAAAGTAGGCACACATCTATAATCCCACCACTCAGGAGGCAGAAGCAGGTGGATCTCTGGGAGCTTGAGGACAGCCTGGTCTACAGAGCAAGTTCTGGGACAGCCAGAGCTGTTACACAGAAAAGCCTTGTCTCAAAACAAACAAACAAAAAGAAGGAAGGAAAGGAAAAGTAAACAAGAGGAACATAGAACATACTCACACACTTCTGTTTCCTCTTCTGGTATACAGGCAAACATGCAGACACTCAGGGAAGAAAGAAAGAAAGAAAGAAAGAAAGAAAGAAAGAAAGAAAGAAAGAAAGAAAGAAAGAAAGAAAGAAAGAAAGGAAGGAAGGAAGGAAGGAAGGAAGGAAGGAAGGAAGGAAGGGGAAGGGAGGAGAGGGGAGGGGAGGAAAAGAAAGTCCTTGGTGGTTACTCCACCAGTCAAAACATCTTTAAAGGTTTTGAACCAGTGACCTTCAGCTGGCATTCAAGAACCCCGTAGAGCTGGCCCCAATCTGCTCTCCAGTTCTAACTCTGTCTCTGTGTTCTAGGAGAACCCTCCATCCTGGCTCACTCTGTCCCCTCTGAGAAGAGTCCTCCAACTTTATTCCTGCTTTATACCAACTCAGCTGCCACAGACCCCAGTGGCTGCCACAGACCCCAGTGTAGCTCACAGTCAGTCCCGGCGGGATCTCAGTCTCATCTTGACTCATTTGGTGCCGTCACTGCTACCACAGCGATCACCCTTTACCTTGCACTCACAAATACTTTCTCAGCAGTAGTGAAAAGGCGATGAAGGGAAAGAACACAGACTTTTGACCCAGACTAAACCTTAAAACCCTCCTCTTGGGAAAGCCATTTCATTTTTATGAATTTTATCTTCGTCACTTGTAGACTGAAGGAATTCTCCCTTATTTTGTGGGCAATGACTAGAAGAGTGTTTATGAGAATCCAGATAAATATCCCCAACCACCACACCACACCACCCTATCCCACCAGTGCTTTCCACAGTCCTTGCAGCCTACACTGCTTTCCGAATCGAGTGGAAGCAACCCAAATTGTTGGCATCTGCTGCCTTGGGTTTACTGAGCTATTAGCTCTTCAACATCTGTTTTGAGTTTCAGAAAGAAATTTCCATTTTTAGGCAACAGCAGCATTTTCATGTAGCATTTCAAAATGCCTCAATCCTACAATGATTATAACTTCTGCTTGATAGGCTCCTAGTCAGCAAAGCCACAGAGAACAGCCCAGCCCGTGAAGAATCCTTCACTCAGATGTTTAAATAGAAGCAATAATGAAGCTCGAAGAAGCTTTTAATTACCCACAATTCCTGGAGGCAGGGGAAGCACAGGTCATAGAAATGCTGGTTTCCTTCACGGTCTACTGTGCTGAATCATACATGCATACATGATGCATTTCTATGACAATTACTAATTCTTTTTGTTCTTGGTTCTTACAGATAGAATTCCTGCAAAGCAGCAAACAGTGTTTTCCCTGTGTTTCTGAATATGTTTTGAGATTGATTTTTGTTTCATGTGTGAGCATTTTTCCTTCATGGGGTCAGTGCTCTTAAGGGTTGAGCCATCTCTCCAGGCTCTTCTGGATTATTTTTCTATAGGTAGCAGAATTTTTAAGTCACTGCGCTTCCTGAATCCCCTAAATATCTATTTCTCTTCAGGTGCAAATGTCCCCTATGGGGAGCAGTGAGGGAAAAATGCAGAGGTTAGGGAGAGGCAGCTTCCAGGGCAAGTCCCCACTGTCAGAAACACAACAGAGCAGCCTTAGACTATCAAATCAGTCAGGTTAATTGTAAGACATAATTGAGGTTAATTTTTTGTGTCAGGATAAATAACTTAATTCTTTCCAACAAGATGGAAAATAAAAATTAGGGACAAGGGGACACAGCTGTCAGGATCCCAGAGCTGGAAGAAACCACCTCCCACAGAACTGTGTTTCACCAATTCAGCACCAAGGGCAGAACCTTGCCAGGACTGGATATAATTAATGAAGCTGCCTTCTTGCTCGGTTTTTATTTGCTTTGTTGTTGTCTTAAGGAGGGGGGATCTGTCTGTCTGTCTGTCTGTCTGTCTGACATAGAGTCTCTGAGTGCAGCCCAAGTTGGCCTGAGACTCTCAATTCTCCTGCCTCAGCCTCCCAAGTCCTAGAATTGCAGGTGTCCACTACCACACCCAGCTCGAGATTGTGCTTGGTTTGGCTTGGTGCATAGTTTGAGATAATGTCTCCTATATTCCAGACTGGTTCAAACTTACTATGTTGCCACAGCTATCTTGGCTCCTGATCATCCTCTTCCTGAGGGCTGACAAGTCTTTTAATGTTTTGGACTTTCTACTTACAAGCCAAGATGGTGGTACAAGCTTGTAAGCCCATCACTTGGGAGGTGGAGTTCAAGTCATCCTTGGTTACAGGGTGAGTTAGAAACAAGCCTGGGATACATGAGAGCCTGTCTCAAGAATGATAAATTCCACTCAGATGATTACACATTCACATACACGTTTAGAATGTTTTGTGTCTGCTCTTGGTTTGGTATGGAAAGACACAGAAGCAGAACTCCAAGAGGCCTCCCATGTCCCCCAGAAAGTCCCTCTTCATCTGCAGACCAGTCTATCACAACACCCTTCATGTGCTTTGGTCTAGGGTGGGGTGTGTGTATGTGTGTTCATGTAGGTGAACATGCATGTGGGTGCACGTGTCGTCTATGGTGCACGTGTCGTCTATGGTGCACGTGTCTATGGTGGTCAGAGATCAACCTTGGAGGCGGCTCTTCAGGTACCGCCCACCTTCTTGGGTTCACACCCAGGCAACCAGGTACTCCACCCACTGAGCTATATTTCACCCCAGTTTTCTGCTTTTTTTTACTTGAAAAAAAAAAAGACTTCTGGATCCCCCAAATCAAATCGTTGAGGGAAGGAAGAGGGCCAAAAGGAACCAGGAAGAATAAATGTATCCAGAAAGTACCTTTGTATTCCAAAAACACACAATTCAAAATAAAAAATGGTCAAGATAACCAAGCTAATAAATGACAGGATGCTGTATGTTGAGAGCTATATGCCTGTCACGGAAGAGCCCTGGGTGGCAATGACTCTGCCCCAAAGGCAAGTTTTACAAAGGAGCTGACTGTAGGCAGGGTACTGGGTACTGAAACTTGAAAGAAATATGAAAGGCAGGGGAAATGTCATGGGAGAATATACAGCATGTTTGGAAATTCCTGGAAATACTTTGTGTGACTGGAAAGCTGGCAGTATCTGGAAAGGCCTGAGCACAAGCTAAGAGGGAGTGGGGTTTTGTGAGGGTGAGAATCCTCTGGGCCTGGACCTGATCTGATGAGACCAGCCTTCAGGAAAGGTACCCAGTTCAGGGGCTGGAGAGGCTACTCTGAGGGTAGAGCAGAGGTTAAGAACCTGAATTCCGTTCCCAGTACCCACATCAAGTGGCTCATGATACCCTGTAACTGCAGCTCCAAGGGATCCCTCTCTCTCTCTCTCTCTCTCTCTCTCTCTCTCTCTCTCTCTCTCTCTCTCTCTCTCTCTCTCTCTCTCTCTCTCTGTCTCTCTCTCTGTCTCTGTCTCTCTCCCTCTCTCCCTCCCTACCCTCCCTCCCCTCCCTCCCCCCTCTCTCTCTTGCACACACACATAATTTAAAATAAAAATAAAATCTTTAAAAAAAAAGAAAGGTAGTTCAAACAGTCAAAAGAGAGAGAAGGCCGGGAAAGGGGGAAGGATTCGAGGACACATAGGACAAGTCTAGGCAGAATTTGTCTACCCTTGGTTTCATCCCTTGGTTTCATTAGCCACTTACCTGTGTTTTACATTTGAATTGTGTCTCTCCAGATTCCTCCAAGAAAATAAAAGATGTGTTGGCTGAGTTTAATGAAGGTGGAAGCCTCAAGCAATATGACCCACACAAGGTAAGACTGTTTCTATTCCAAGTCTTTAAAGAAAGAGAAAATTCTGCCTCCCAGTCTTTCCCCACTGGCATCTTAACTTGCCTTGAAGACCTTGCTCTGAGACCTGTGTTCCCCCAGGTCTCAAGCGAGCCATTCATGCCATCTGTGTTTCCCCCCCTCACATGCCCACGCTGTCCTGCAAGACTCCATCACCACACTTCTTGCCCTCCCCCCTCCTCATTCCCAGTTAACACTGAGAAGACTGAAGCAAAACCCCAGGCGGGCGCCCCTCCCCCGTCACTGTGGCGAGCTGCCTGTGCCCTCAGTGTACCTCTGCTCTCCTGTGTTTGGATTATTGTTAGGCATTGCTGAATCAAGATCCCTCCCCCAACCCCCCATTCTACCCGTCCCTGTCTAAGTTTTCCTCATCAGTCTGCCTACACGCATTAGATTTTTCCCAGTGACACAACTCGCATGAAAATCCTCTATGAAAATACTTTAATTTGTCTATATGCGTCTCCTCCATGCCTCTTCTACTTTCTCCAGAATCTTTCAATCACCGCTTCACTGATACCACTAGAGAAGACACCATGTGACTAAATCCCACAGTGATGTTACTTAATGATATTGGATGTAATTTGTCAAACTCTCCTTCACCTTTATCATTTAGTTTCAGAATACCACACTCAGGGTTTTTTTTGGGGGGGGGATGTTTTGTTTTGTTTTCTCTTTCCCCTGCACTTGACGTCTAAAACTTGAAAGTTAAATAGACATCTCGAACTTATCCTGAGCTAAATTGATGCCCTCCATCATCCCCCATAAAACATGTTTCTCTGTGAGTCAGTCCAGGACAACTTGATTAGCATACAGTATGCAATTGTCATTGACTTATCTCTTGCTCTAACTTCCCCCACCCAGTTCAGCAGAAAACCCTGCCACTCCAGCCTGTAAAATGAATACATCCACATCGTCCTTCCCGCCAGGCTCTAGGACCTGACTCATCACTGCGCTGCTCCGCTCAGACCATGGCGGTCTCCTACTGGGCTCTCAGCCTCTTCTCTTGCCCTATGCCATCCACTCCTCACACATATCCTGAGCCGTCTGTTAGAACACATGTTTGAGCTGTCATTCTTCCATTTCCCCCAGTCCCTACTCAGGGCAATCTAGACCTCCTCTGTTCTCTATCTTCAATCCTTCCTGCCATATTAGCCTCCTTGATGCTCCTGGACAAGCTGCTGCTCTGTAACCTCACCCAGCACCACTCACTTGCTCTTCCTTTTCCTGGGATGTCCTCTGACAAATATCTACATTCTTTGTTTCTTCCCTGTGGCGGTTTGAAAGAAAATGACCCCCAGAAAGAGTGGCACTGTTAGGAGATGCGGCCTTGTTGAAGTAGGCGTAGCCTTGTTGGAGGAAGTGTGTCACTGTGTGGGTGGGCTTTGAGGTCTCCTTTGCTCAAGCTTCACTCAGTGTGACACAGACCACTTCCTGTTGGCTGCAAGATATAGGACTCTCAGCTACTTCTCCAGCACCATGTCTGCCTGCATGCCACCATGTCCCACCATGATGGTAACCTCTGAACTGTAAGCCGCCACCACAATTAAATGTTTTCCTTTATAAGAGCTGCAGTGATCATGGTGTCTCTTCACAGAAATAGAAACCCTAACTAAGACATTCACTTCCTTCAAGTCGATGCTTAAACCACCTTCCCAGTGATTGTCACCTTCTTTGTCCAACATGTGAAGGCTTCCTCATCACACTTCCTATTCTGTTGCTCTGCTCTATTTTTCTTGGTACTTCACACCATCTGTCATGCTAACTAATTTACCTAATTCATTCTCTGTCTCTTTCACTGGAATATATTTGCTCACTGCTGTGTCTGCAGTGCCCAGGAGAGTATTTGGCTCATTGCAAGTTTTGACAAATGCTTTTTGGATGAGTAAATGCATGTGAGGCCTCTGCCTGTTTTCGAGTTCAAGTAATATTCCTTGGGTATGCAGGCACTGTGCTGGGCTCTGCAGAGGAGACAAGATCATGAAGCACAGTGCCTCCCCTCAGGAATTCCCTATTACTGCCAAGGTCAAGTGTGAGTCCCAGTCCTTGAATCAGATGGTTTTAGACTAGCCTTTTGCCTCTGCCGTCACCCCATAATGTGAGCTTGTATATTTCACTGAGTCTCAGTTTCCCTGTCTGTGGACTGAAGCTAATGAGCATATTAAAAGCTTGAAGGTAGTAGGTGAGTGAATTAAAAGAAAAAAAATGTTGCCAAATATTGAATATAGGATATGTTCTTGCTTCCCATCTATCCCGTCGCCAGAATGCCTTATCCCCTCCTCCCTTTCTTCTGCTCCTGGATCAATTTGTGGAGACTTACTGGAGAAAAGTGACAGCTCAGCAAAACTAAATTAGGAAGAGGCTGCCATTTACTTACTGACATTGTCATTTGCTGGACAAACCTGAGACAAGGCCTTCTCCATTGGCTCCCAGGAACAGAGCCTGTGGTCTCGAACGTGATAAAACACCAATTGCTGGGAGAAAGAACAGGAGGGGGGGTTGGCAAAACAGGAGAGAACACACCACTTCAAAGAGCATTCCTGAGGAGAAGCCATGCAGAGCAGCAAAGAACTCACCGCCCCACACCTCCCGCCTCCAACTTCAACAAAACAGGGAACAAAGGTTGGGGGAGGCTGGTTCTCAGCCTGTCTGCCTGGGGGCTGCTGTGTGGGAGGGGAACAATTTGGTCAGGGCCACCACTGATGGGAAGGCCAAGAGGGGCTTTCAGAAGCAGGGAACTCTGGCTAGCATGAGTGTGCAGCCGCCCTCACACCCCTCAGGGTTGGCCCTCTCTCTTTGTATGCCTGGCCCTGCTGCATCCTGGGGGAGCTCTGCCATTCTCTCACACAGCGTGCCTGACTTCTGGTAGGTGTAATGTCATGGCATGGGGTTGGCAAAGCAACAAGGGTTTCATTTCTCCTGAGCTTGATGGCCTCCTGTTGCTAAAATGACTTAGTGAGAAAGGGGTTGGCTGCGGGCAGGGGCGGGTTGCTGGAGAAGCTAGAGTGGGAATGGAAGTTTGCAGAGGGGTGGGTCTGGCCAGTGATCCTCTGGAGAGAACAATGATGACAGCTAGAGTGAGGAAAGCCCAACCTAGCAAGTTCTAACTCTGCAGAATGCATGGCAACCCTGAACAGGCGTTTAAGATGTGAGTTATAGCCCTACCTTGTACCATTGCCTCATGCCTGGTGCACAGTAGTTTCTCCGGCCTCTCTTCTCCCTTCTACACCTGGAGCAGAATTAACAGGCCCTCTTAGCATAGGTTACAGCAATATCAATTGCTTGGCAGGTTGCTTCATGGCTTTACGGTTCTGGGGAGACTATGAATAATCTAGGTGCCGATGAAAGTGATGGTTCCTTCCCAGTGTGCCTGTAGTGGCTGATATTAGTTGGATATAATATGCAGGCCCTCCTCACCCTGTCACCCACTAAACATTCAGTAAGCAGTTACTGTGCTCGGATGGTGCTCGTAAGGAATCGCCTAACCTCTGTATCACTTTCAGAAGGATGTGCAACCAGTCTCTTGCTCACTGAAGTTGTGGTGCTTGGAGGAAGAGACTGGGAGCACTGTACCAGCCCAGGGACCTGTGACAGAAGCAGTAACAGACACAGGATCCAGAGATAGGCTTCTGGGTCATCCTGCCTCTAGTGGGCTGGGACAAGTGACTGAGTGTCCTGAGCACCAGTGGCATAAGAAGACCCAGGTTCTCTGAGGATTTTCTGATTTGAGTGTTCTGTGTTGATCCTAGCCCATTCCACTTCCCAGAGGATGCTGGAGTCGGATTGTTAATGATTAGGCATGAATTCTAAGATCTCACATCTTGTTCTAATCGCACGGCACTCAGCACTGCTGACCGTGTATTACAGTCATTCCGATGCCTTTACCTGTGTATCCAGAGCACCGAGTCTCTGCCTGCCTGGGAGAATGGTCCACTGGTGGCCAGCACTACAGCAGGTCATCCCTTTGATGTACCAGCTGGGAAGCCCATTTCTATTCAAATATCTATCAGGAACATTGTGGTGACAGAAATGCAATGGGACACCCTCATTGCCATCTGGGAGCTCTGATTCTAGTCTGAGAACAGGCAACCACTAGCTGTGTTATTCCAGAACAGCATCTGTGAGTTTCACAAGGCAGGAACCAGTGTGTAAACTAAAGACATTTGGGTGCAGGAAATCCCAACGTGACACCTGGATTCAGCTTTAGTGTGGCACCAGAATTTTAACAGTTGAAGAAAGAAGTGGGCTGTGGAGCTCGCTCGGGAAAGAACAAGAGGACAGGGTGTGCAGTAACAAATAGCAAGAGAAAGTGGCAGATGGGTTGAGAGTTTGATGTGACTCCATATCTAGGCTGGAGTGGAGTTGCAGAGGAGAATCGGAATTCCAAAGGCCCCAGAACGCGTAAGTGCCCAGGATGACTAACTGGACTGTAGCAACATTATTTATATACTAAGATATATTTAAGCTTCTGTCTACACTCCCTTGGGTTCATGGGAGTTTCTTTTCTGTATTCCTGTTATCACATATAATGCAGGAGATCAGTCATACATAAGCAACTCTCCACTCTCCCATGGGCAATTAGAAACCCTGGAAAATTTTTGAGTAGGAAATCAATCTTGTCACAGTTGTGCTTTGGGAAAATCAGCCTGACACGGCTGGGTACAACGGATGGGAGGAGCAACAGCGGGAGGTGGGGGCAAGGATGCCTTCAAGAGGCACCGCGCAGGCTGGAGGGATGGCTCAGCAGCTCAGAGACACGTTGCTCCTGCAGAGGACCCAGGTTTTATTCCCAGTGTCTGAAAGGCAAACTAAACTCAAAGGCTTCACTTCTAATAAATCACACTGGGGAGAAATCGTATAAATGTGGCAAAGCCTTAAGTTCCCATTCAACTCTTATTATGCACACCAGAGAGACACTATATAAATGTAAAGGTTGCGGAAAAGCCTTCAGAACAAATCCAGTCTCCTAGACTCTAGTTCTTGTGTTGTGACAAAACTCTAAGACAACCTTCCTGGAAATTGTGTTTGACAACAAACCACCTCCAAGAGACAGAGAAACCACAGAATGCTCCCTCCCAGCACCAACCAATGAGAACAAGATACCTGCTAGTAACGAGGAAGCCATAGAAACTACTAATGCTCCCTCTGGAGGCTGCTGTGTCAGCCTGCTAGACAGAGTCCCTACCAGTAGGATTAAACAATAAAGCCTTGCCCTTGCAGATCCAAACTTTAGTGTTTCTGTGTGTGAGAATAAGGAATTGTAGATAGGTTATAGACTATGAAACCAGATCAGAGACCACAAGAGGGGAACAAGAGATGTTGAGAGAGAGAAGAGGAAACAAAGGGAGACAGCAGCGAGGAGGGAGGGGAGAAATGCACACAGGAAGGGTGGGGGGAGGGGAGAACAAGGAGGAAAGGAAAACAATAAAAAACAAATTCTGTTTGAAAAAAGCCAGGTGTCATGGCGCACACCTTTAATTCCAGCACATGGGAGGCAGAGGCAGGTGGATCTCTGAGTTTGAAGCCAGCCTGGTCTACAGAGAAAGTTCCAGGACAGCGGAATGTAGGGGGTCCGAGGGCCATCAACCAGATATGGCTGCCTCACGTACTCATAAGAGAAGACGTGACTCAACCCTCATAGAGAGTACGTGACTCTGGACCACCCTGCCACCTCTGCTAAATTCCAGAAACAGGCCTGCAGCTTAATTAGCAGCTAAAGATTAGCTCAACAGAAAGCCCCCAATTCCGCCAGAAGTTAGGCAAGGACATAGGAAAGAAGGAGACAGTTATCTGTAAGATAACTAAAGATATCTGTAAGAACCTAAAGGAAAGAAGGAGACAGATAAAGTAAGAACCTACGGTCAGGTTACCTAGCAACACAGGAGGTTCTACCCCCCACCTTTTGCCCTGCGAATTAGGTTTCCAGGCAGCACGGAGGGTTACCCATCCCACTGACCTTTGGTCCACCAGGCTCATTGCAGCTGCAGCACACCCCCATTCCTTCCCCTCCTCCCTTCCCCTATATAAATCCCTTTGGGATGAAATAAAGTTGTCGCCTTGATCAGGCGTCCATTCTTTCCTGCCCTCATCTTTCCCCTAGGTACCCTCAGCCCCACCTTGAATGTCCTGGGGGTTGGGGTGGCCAGAGCTACAGAGAACCCCTGTCAAAAGAAAGGAAGGAAGGAAGGAAGGAAGGAAGGAAGGAAGGAAGGAAGGAAGGAAGGAAGGAAGGGAAAGAAAAAATGTCATAATGAATGAAACCTAATTTCTACATGCTAATAACAAGTAAACAAATAAAAAAAATTTACTCAGACATATCCGGACCACTGCTTTTCTAGACACCAGATATCTGGTGGCTGCTTTTGGGGACTGCATACTGGTGACTTCGCACTTCTCACACTGATCTTTCCCAGATGCCTTTTAGCTTTGTTGCTGTTGTTTAGTTTGTTTCCTGCCACATTCTCTTAGAATCTGTTTAGATATACTCTTTTGTTTGTTTTGTGGCAGGATCTCTCTACATAGCCCAGGCCGTCTTGGAACTCACTGTATAGACCAGGCTGGTCTCAAACAGAAAGATCAGCTGTTTCTGCCTCCCAAGTGCTGGAATTAAAGTGTGCACCCCCACGACTTGCCACTAAACCTTTTTTTAGTGCCTTCTTTTCCAGAAACATTTCATTCTGGCTGTTACCATTTGGTACTAGCTCAAAACTGTCATTGAGGTCAGTATCTGTCAGTTAAAATAGTGCAAAAAGAAATGCAAAGGAGCTTCCAAAATAAAAGAATAAACAGCGATGTCATTAGCAAAGATTCAGTTGAACCAAAACGGGGAATGAGAAGTATCAAAATAATAAAAATAAAATCTCAACATGGAAAGCAGCTTCAAGAAACCAAGGTAAAATTCTGCAGGAGCTGAGATGAGACTTAACAAAGAGATAACTACACTTAAGACCTCCAAGGAAGCAGGTTCATGGGCAAGAGGCAGGAACCTAAACAGAGTGGAGTTCAAGGGGAAAGGAAGGCCAGTGTGGTGTCATTGGAGAAATTAAAGAGGAAGGGAATGGAATGATTCCCTTGGCATGTGATTGGGGGCAGAAGGTAAGCAAGATGCCCTCAGAGACAGTGATGGCAGCAGCAAGGGTGGTAGTGGATGGGTGATGTTGGAAAGGGGATGAAATGACCCTATCACTGTATCCTAGAGAGGAGCAGAGGATGTATGCAGAAGGAATAGTCTGAGGTAGTGATGCTGCAGAGACAGAGAGAGACAGAAAGAGAATGCAACAGAGAATCAGAGACTTGGGACAAAAAGGGACACAGAGCAAGATAGTGGGCACTATAAATGTCAGTCAATCATGTACTGGGTTCTTTTCATCTGGAAATTAAATGAAGGAGTAAGTAAATGGTCTGTGACCTACTATATCAGGCTTCCACCACACTGCAAAGGAGATCTCTAGGACAGCCCTGATCTCTGGGACAGCCCTGAACTTAGCAGAGATTGGTTGTGAGCTCCCAATGGAGCCCACACCTGACCCTACACATTTAAGTAGGCTCCTGATTCTGGGAAGGCTTGCTGAATCCCCAGAACATGAAAGGGGTTAAATGTTATCAGCATTATCCAGAAAACACCAAGTAGGTTTCCAAAAAGGAGTTCTGTTCTCCTGGCTGTTATTCCTCACAGAGGCCAGCATAGCAGCTCTTGGAGCAGCACTTCTTCAAATGGTTTCCAGGAGTGTCTGTGATTGGATGAAGTCCCAACACCATGGAAGTGCAAGCCAGAGATGACTCACCGCAAACTGTTGTTGTTATTGTTAGTGTATGCTTGCTGAGGGCTGCAATTCTTTCTGGCATGGCTGCTCAAAGCCTAGGACCAGATGTCAGGCAGTATCAAGAGAGACAACAGGGACAGGGTCTAGTTTCTGGCATGCCCGTTGGTTCTACCTTCTGTCCTTAGCTTCCCTGCTTTCCTTGATACCTAAAGTTATCACAATGGCTTGTTCTGGAGCACAGTTGAGCCAAACACTCACAATTCCTTTTCATCTTAGAATCTGTCTAGAGAAGATGAACGTTATGGAAGCACTGTAGGATGGAGCCTGTCCTTTCTTCCCCAATCTCTCCTACTTTTGGAGACCTGAACTCAAGAATCAGAGAAATTGTGATGAGCACAAAAGAACCTTTCTTTCCATGCTATTTCCTTCTGCGTCCTTCTTCATCGTTCAAAGCAGGGTCTGAGTCCTTGCTCTGTAGATCCATGACCTTCGCATGAGCCTGGACACAGGCAGATCCCTAGAACTCCATTTATGAGTCCCACTTTGTATGCACGCTGTTGGTGACCCTTTGAGAATCTCATACTTACATATAATGCGTTTTGACCATATGCACCCCCACTCCTCTCACCCCTTCATCCCTTTCCAACACAGTGTCCTCTTCTGATGCTGACCCACTATGTCCAGCTTTGCTGCCCACATACTCATGGGTGTAGGCCCATCCGTGATAGACCAACCAGGGACCACACCCTTGATGAAGCCTGACTCTTTCCCACAAGCCAACAGCTGAGCCCATCTCCTCTCCACGGTATAATGTTGATTGGCTTGTTCCTATGCAGGTCTTGTGCAGGCAAGCAAAAGTGCTGAGTAAGTGGGTGTAGCCGTCCTGTAGTGTCTGGAAAGTGTTGATTCACTCAGGTCCACCTCAGCATCTGGCCCTTGCAATCTGTTTACCCCTTCTTTCACAGTAGTCTCTGAGCCTTGGGGAGTATATCACCCCTACTTTTAATCCAAATTTAAACCAAACCATACCCTATTACAAAAGCCTATTCTGTGCCATGTTTTCTCTGCCTGCGTCCCATCCCCCGTCCCCTGTCCCTCCCATTCTCTGTCTCCTCCTGGTCTTTTCATTCCTGCCCCCACCAACCCTTCACTTCCATCACTTCCACTACACCTGCCAGCACCCCGTCCCCTCTCCTTCTTCGTCCTGTCCCTTCCCTTCCCTCTATTGACTTCTCTCTTCTTGCCCTCCTCAGCCCATTAGCTATGATGTCTTCAAGCTGTTCATGAGGGCATACCTGGAGGTGGACCTTCCTCAGCCACTGAGCACACACCTCTTCCTGGCCTTCAGCCAGAAGCCCAGACAGGAGACACCTGACCACCCAAAGGAGGGGGCCAGCAGTAGTGAGCCCAATGTCTCAGGTACAAGGGCCAGCTTTCCCCAAGATGGGAGGATGCTGAACATCTGTGACCCTGGCCACAGGCACAGGCATTGCACTAGAGGGGAACCTGAACATAGTCACTTCTTTAAGGAGGAAGTGGGAGGGAGACCAAGGGACAGGGACTCCTCTTTCTAGACCCTCACAGGAACCTTATCTAGTGAGAAAGAGGAATAAAAAGGGGGTGATTCTGTCACTCGGGGTCAGAGAATAGGATGGGTCAAGAGGGGACACAAACTAACATGTGGCAGAAAAATAAGAGCCTTCTAAGCAGGCTTTAGTTCGTGGTTAGAGACATTCAGCACGTGTCCCAGCTAGGACTAACCAGGGATCAGAGGAGAGGAAGCCATAGCCACTGTCTTACTGGAGTCTCAGAGAGCATGAGACAAACTGATAATGACATAGGACACAAACACAGCCTACATGAACCAGAGCCCATGGGAAGGTTCCCTACAAGCCCTTCTAAGGGTCTGGAGGGCATGGACCGGCCTTTACATCTTCTTTTTGTTCCCTAGATTATAATGCAGATAATGGTGCCAAAGCAGATGAGGCCTGCGCTCCAGACACTGGTAAGACATTGGGACATGAGATTTGGGAGGGTTTCTATTGCTGTGAAGAGACACCATGACAGTGGCAATCTTACAAAGGAAAGCATTTATTTGGGACCGGCTTACAGTTCAGAGGTTTAGTCCATTATCATCATGGTAAGAAGTATGGCAGCTCGCAGGCAGGCTGGAGAAGGAACTGGGAGTTCTGCATCAAGATCTGCAGGCAGCAGGAGACTGTGTCCCTACACTGCAGGTAGCTTGAGCATATGAAACCTCAAGCCTGCCCTCCAACAAAGCCACACCTACTCCAAGTCCATACTTCCTAATAATGCCACTCCCTATGAGTCCATGGGTGCCATTCCTATCCAAACAACCACAGAAGAGGAGGAGGAACCAGTTGGCCAGCTGTCTTTTTATCCACACAATTGAGGGCCTCTAAAGCTCGTTGAAGGTTCTTACCTCCCTTGTCCTAGAACAGAGCAGGTCAAGGCTTAGGACAGGTTACCAGATGTTTACTTCTGACAAGTTGCTTGCAAAAGATGTGGAGGAGCCTTCACAAGAAGCATGGGAGTGTGTGGGAGTCTGTGTGCCAAGATCTGGCTTTCTGGCAGATTCTACATTCTACCAGTGGATGACTAGAGTGGGGAGGGCGAGTGTGTAAGAGTACGTCCTGATGGGCCAACAGCCAGTGTTCACGAGGGGCTGGAGAGATGATCCAGCAGTTAAGAGCACTGGCTGCTCTTGCAAAGGGCTCAGGTTCGAATCCCAGCACCTGCGGTAGCGGCTCACAAAAATGGTCTGTGACTTCCTGATGCCCTCTTCTTGCCTCCCTAGGCAGCAGGCATGTAAATGGTGCACAGCAGACATACATGCAGAAAAGAGCATCTACACACATAAATTTTAAAACAGAAATGCCCTTGTTACTTTTGAACAAGTTGGAGACTTTCTAGTAATTACCAAAAGAAGCCAGGAAAGAATGGTTTTGAAGATCTGTTTTCTAGGTACCTGCTTATTTCATTTTCCTCTGGCCTTTGAATTTATACTGCTTCACACAATGGAGCCAAGCAGACCATTGTGGGGCTGGGGATTCAATCTAAACTAGTGCAGCCTCAAACCTCTGCTCTGTGGCCTAGGCTGGCCTGGAGTTCATGGGCTCAAGTGATCTTCTCACCTCTGCTTCCAGAGAAGTTGGGACTACCAGCAGACACACACACACGCACACACACACCAGCATCCAACTCCATAGTGAATTTAAAAACGACAAACCCCACATAACAGAACAAGGAAACTGAGGTGCCAGGTGGTGCTCCATGCAAAAGTCTCAAGTTAGTTGGTTCCTGGTAGAGCTGCTGTAGCAGCTATGGTCCATTGCCCCACCTCTGGCGCAGCAGATCTGGGATCTTCCCTGACATGTTTATATGTGACAAGCTAGTTCTCTGTGCTCTTGACTAACTCAGGTACTGGAAGGGGCAACACTCACCACCCTTGGCATTTGCTTTCATGTTCAATAAAAAATGTCCTGGTCATTTGCCACCTAAACTAGATCAGGCAATAGAACATATTGGTTAGGAATCCGGACCTCATTCCCAGCAGTTAGCAGTTAGTTGAGCAATGTCTGTGTCTCGCTGTCCCCTCTGTAAAACAGGAAGATAATGAGTATTGCTATGTGGACTGAATGAGTTAGCAGCTGTCCTAAGGCTTATAACAGTGCCTGGCCCCTGGTAAATGCTCAATAGTGTCAGCAATTAGCATTGAGCCATACTCTAGATGAACTCGCTCTACTTAGCTCATTTCAGTCAGCCAGACTACCCTTGAGTCCACAGCCTCAGTCTCCTGGCAGGTCAGCTTGGCGTCCTGTTCTGGTGGGAAGTCACTTGTGGACTGTGCACTTTCTCTTAAGGTTTCAAATAGGAAGCCTCAGGGAGGCAAACCCTGCTTCCTGCACATGCTCATACTGTGAAAACAATGTATACATGCGCAAAGCTGAATCCCAGGTCTTGGGGTGAACACTAAAGACAGTGAATGCTGCTCCATCGTATTTTTAAATATGTGTCAGACGAAGAAGGTAAGAGGTACTACAGCCCAAAGAGAATGGCAACAATTTCAGCAGAGACTGGGATGAGAGCCTCTTCAAGTGGACACTAGCTGTAATCCTGGTCTTTCTCTCTTCCTGTCCCAGGAGGAAACTAGAAGCATTATAGGTAGGGCTTTCAGTGTTTGGCAGGATTGGTAAGTTAGTTAGTTGGGGTTTGTCCTTGTTTTTAAATTCACTATGGAATTGGATGCTGGTGTGTGTGTGTGTGTGTGTGTGTGTGTGTGTGTGTGTGTGTCTGTTTCTGCTGGTAGTCCCAACTTCTCTGGAACCAGAGATAAGAAGATCTCTTGAGCCCATGAACTCCAGGCCAGCCTAGGCCACACAGAGGTTCCAGCTACAAAGAAAAGCGAGGGACCACAGAGGTGGCTTGGCTGTTAAGAGCACTGGCTGCTTTTCTAGAGGACCTGAGTTCACCTCCACTACCCACACCAGGGGATCACAGGTCAGAGAGGGCACACATGTGAGCGCATATCCACATACTATACATAGTTGAAAATAACAACTATTTTAAGGGGCAAGGAAGGGGGAGAGGAAAGAGATGAGGGAGAGACCAGAGAAAGGGAGAAGAGAATATTAACACTACAAACGGAACTCAGAACATTCGTTGGAAAGAGAAGGCTATCATGGCAGCTTGTAGAGATACAGAAAGCAAGGAAGAAGGGAACCTGGGCCTTCCTGATGCCCTTAGTGATAGCTATAGGGAAAGCTGACTCAACATTGTTGACTCACTCCCGCCAGCACCCCACCAGCTCTACTAGTCCAGGGTCCCCGGTGACATGAATTTAAGGCACAAGTCAGTCTTATCTCAGATCAAATGGAGTAACAGATCAAATTCTGATGCAAAACATGCTCCCAGCAGGAAGGAAAGGGCAAGTTTATAAACTTCTAGCAAGGAAGCATGCTGCCCCAACTTCTCACCCACGCACTTGGAACTTCCAGAGAAACCTTCAGGTTGCTTCTCATGCCTTAAAGCTCAAAACAATGTCAGCAGAGTTTTAGTGGCTGAGGAGATAGCATTGAAGAACTCACAGAGGGGAGGTCATGTGATATTTGAGGACAGATGGACAGTGACATAGTGGAGATGGACATGGCCTTGATCACTCATAGTAGCGCTATCACTCTGAATCTCAAAGACATCCCCTCAGACTTCCTCCTGGAGAAGTGATTTGTCATGCACCATTTTGTCTGCTTATGGTGAAGAAAAGCACCAGGCTCTATGGTTAAATCATTAAAAGGCAGTTATCTGAGCTGGGCAGTGGTGGCGCACACCTTTAATCCCAGCACTCAGGAGGCAGAGGCAGGCGGATCTCTGTGAGTTCGAGACCAGGCTGGACTGACAGCCTCCAAAACAATAGAGAGAAACCCTGTCTCGTAAAAACCAAAAAAAAAAAAAAAAAAAAGGCAGTTATCTGATTTGGGGTCCAGAGAGATACTTAGCTCTTTTTTGTATTTTTTTTAAACCTGAGATTTAAAGAATTTAAAGAAGAATAATCCATTTCCTGCTAGGTTTTCTTCAATATTTGGCTTAAGTTTAATGGCCCTGTTTACAAAAATACAAGAAGAATTAGGACAGGCAGAGATTCCACAGAGAACCCCTTCCTACAAGAAGCAAAGCCTGTACTCACTTGTGATCTGGCCATCTGTGGAAAACCCCAGCCTTTCCCTGTTATTCTAGCAGATGCCAGAAGATTCTAGATTCTGACTGGCATGGCCTCCACCAGTCATGCCTTTCTATGCTCAAATGTAGTGCAGCCCACCTCAAGTCATTTCTTCCCAGAGCAGGACAGAAGAAAGGGTCTTTCACAGAGTGCAAGTGTTGACTCAAAGCCTGCCAGAGTCACTGTCATCCTGACAGCTCAGAATATGAAAGGGAAGAATTTTGGTTCTTGGTGCTTTGTTTGGTGTCTTAACCTGTTAAGATTTTTTCTCAGCAACCCACAATCTTGAGTATTTGAAGGAAATACACTGCTTTCTGAGTCTTTCCAGTTATAAAAGTAGCATACTCACATTGCAGACAGTTTGAAGACTAACTCTGAAGCTCCCCAAAGGAAACTACAAACAACAAAGATAATAAAGACTTGTGGTCATAAGAGTCCAGGGCAAAGAGAGGAGTAGCAGAGGAACTACAAGGTGGTGATATTCCTCTGCATGACACTACAGTGATGGGCATGTGTCCAAATCCTTTGTTCAGAACCAAGGAATACACGGCCCCAAGAGTGACCACTACTGTGGGCTGCGGGCTGTGATGGTAATGACGGGTCAGTGCAGGACCACCAGTTATGACAAATATAGAACTCTTTGTGGCATGTTCATTGTAAAGGTAGCTCATACCAAATTTTGCACAGGGTATCTGAACAAAATCTCTGTACCTTCCACTAGTTTTGCTATAAACCTAAACTGCTCTTTAACCAATTTCATCTTTAAAAAAGAAAACTGAACTCAACTATATTTGCAATTAAATGTGTATGATCTCATAGGGCTTTTTTTAATAGGTTTCTTACATAATTGGGATCAAGCCACATATAATTTTGAAGTTAAAATTTTTCACTTAACATTATAGTTACAAACATCCCTGTCATTCAAGACTTAGGGTGAACCTCAGTTTTGCTGCAATGACCTCTTTTAACAGGTTTAAACAAACACAGGTTGAGTAAGTCCACGTAAGCAAGTCACACACCATGTAGTACAAACCTAGAGATAGAGTCCCCAAAGTCTCTCCTCTGCCACAGTGCCCAGCTAGAAGTCAACAAGTACTGCAGAGACTATGAGCAAAGGCAGAATGGTCAGGTGCACCCTACCTTCAGTGAAGAGGCTTACAACCAGGTGCTGAATGAGGGCTGATGTAGTGTAAAAGAGACCATTTGTCTCCGGTCACTGGGAGATGTCTTTAGATGACTGGAGGATTAGGTATTTCGTATGTGGGAGCATGAGAAGAAAGGACACTAATGGGATAATCAGCATCTAGCATGTCCATGCAGGAGTAAACTAACCTTGTTATGAACTAGAATTGTGACATGATCCACCCAGAACTCTAGTGACTGGACCATCTTCAGGAAACAGCAATGTCCTTCATAGCTCAGTTGAACTGTAGTTGGCATATAATCAAAAACTACAGTGTGTAGGCATCCATAGAAACCAGCAGGATGCCAGGAAAATGACCACAGCCACCATCTAGGAAAGATTTCGTGGTGAGCCATTTCTCTAGCCCTGCCCCACCCCAAGTGGTCTATGATCTGCCTTCTGTCACTCTGAATGTCACTGCACCATCTGGACTCCATGTGAACAGAATCATGCAATATTTCCATTCTTAGCTCTTACTTCTTTTGTTTGGCATAATCATTTTGTGTATATTAATTGTCAACATATTTTGTTTGTTAATTAGTATTCTAACAGATAGAGTTTCCATAATTATTTCACTTATTGGGGCAAGGACATTTGATTAGTTTCCAGTTTGCAATTATTACAAACGATCTTGTTGTAAATATTCCTTTGTAAGTCTTTGTATGGAGAACTTTCATTCCCTTTGGGAAGACTTGGAATGGAATACCAGCTATAATGTGGCAGGCACTGTGCTCATTTCCGTTTATAGGAAATTGCCAGGCTCTTTTCAAGATCACTGGCCCGTTTACACACCTGGCTGCACAAAGGCCCCTGCTGCTCAGTCCTGCATCTTCTTTTTTTATTGCTCTAATACACTGAGGGTGGCACCTCACTGTGGTCTGTGTTTGCATTTTCCTGGTGTCATCCTGCCGTGTGCTCAATAGACTAATGGTCATTTATGAATCATCCTTAACAAAAATGTTCAAATCTTTTCTTTTACCCACTGATCTTCTCCCTGGCTCTAACAGGGTATTTTGAAGAACAAAATTTTGTAATATCTTAAAAGAATTATTGATTCTGTGAGTTCAAGGCCAGCCTGATCTAAAAAGTGAGTTGAAGGACAACCAAGGCTGCACAGAGAAATCCTGTCTCCAAAACAAAACAACAACGTAAAAGAATTATTAATCTTACTTTCTGTGAACTGTGTGTGTATGGATGCTTTGCCTGCATACATGTATGTGCACCACATTCATGCCTGGTGTGTGTGGAGGTCGGAAGAGGGCATCACATCTACAATTAGAGTGATGGTGGTTGTGCATCACCGTGGAGGTGCTGGGAACCGAACCTGAGTCCTCTGCAGGAACAAGAAATGCTCTTAACCCTATCTCCAAAAGTTCTTACTTTTTATGAAATACAATTCAACATGGTTTGTTTGTTCTGTGGCTGATCTTTGCTATTGCATCTTAGAAATCTGCTGAATCATGATCAGAAAGAACTGGTATCTTAATGTCCTGCATCTAATCCTTTAACACAGTGTCTCTTCACTTAAGTGTCTGCTAACTTCTACTTAATACATTAACAGTGAGAAGCTTCTGCCTCTGAGTCCATGGAGAATGCGAACATGTACCCTCTTGCGATGTCTTTGATTTGGGCCTTGCAGCAGTGCTGCTCTTCTTAAGTGGGTTGGGTACCATTCTTATCCCTTCGGTTTTCTGGGAGAATTTGTATAGAATCCTTATCAGCTCCTCTTTAAGGCTGAGTACAGTATGGACTGTTTTTTTTTTCATTCCTTATGCTTGTTTGGGGTAAAGTGAGATTACCTGGAAATAGTTGCGAGTATTTACATACCCTTGAACATCTAGAGCTGATGCTGCCTCGCTGTTGAGGCAGAGTTCTTTGGGATCCTCGACAGGTAACATGTGTTTTCTAGGGGCTTCTACCCTATTGATGAGAGCATTGCCCCTGACTTTTCATCCCAGAGTTTGTTCCTCCAGTCCTGCTTCTCCTACTCCCATCCTAACCATAACCAGGCCCATTCCTCAGCCTCAGGCAGTTTCCTCCCCAGGGAGCAATAATCCCCACTCAGCTATCAAACTGAAAATGACTCTACTGGCAATAAAGGAGCTTTGTACTCTGGGTTTCTGTCTGTGTGGCTCTCTAGACTCCACTCTGGGCTCCCACCTTCTGCTCAACTCCAGAGAATGCCAGGATCTGCCAGAGTGCCCCTCCCTCCTCCTCCCCTGGTACAACATGGAAACTTCTTCCAAATGCTAAGATGTGACAACCTTAGGGGGGCAATTCACCTCTCACTTGTCTCCCATTTTCTCAGGGACCCTACTTAAATATAATGTACTATAGCATTTGCTCCGTGTCTTCTGTACAGGTTGAGTCGGGTAGGACAATACATCTGGTCCCATGTTACTCAGAGCTAGAGACAAAGTGGAATCCATTGATGACATTGCAATGGCTGAGTAACTTGAGCACACAGCAATAACTTGGGGCATTAGGGACCCCCAGTATAAAGGGCCATAGTCTCATTTGTTTTCTGCATTATTGTTAGGAATTCCCATGGCATTTCTTCCAGGGATGATTTTTAACAGTTTTGTTGCATAAGTAATTTCATCTCAATGCCTCACCTCACTATTTCTGTTGTTACCTCATTCATATTCTTTTCACCTCTATTGGTCACCTCAGGAGCCTTCTGCCCTTACTAAGTAGAGGTTCTGTTTTCTTGCAGCTCCAGAGTGTCTTGTCCAATAGAAAAGTACCTTCAGACCCTGTGAGACTTCTGGGTGAAGCTTCCTCTCTTCACCTGTCTCTTGTCTTCCTTTCTGTGTTTCGTAGGCTCTGCCATGGTCTTTCCACGGGCCCTCTGTAACACCCAGAGACCTCTTCTCTCCTCTGCTGTCAGTGTGGATGACAGCTAATTCCTTTCTAACTGAGCCCGCACTGCAGGACTGGACAGGCCTTGTCCCTCAGCCCTGCTGTCCTGGGGTGGAATGCTTCCTCCCATGGAGTGACTCTTGGGTTCTCTGAATAGTGTGAGGTAATACTGCCTTTCCCAGCAGGCATTGCCATGGAGGCCGCCTCCGCGTCTGTCTGTGGTGGCAGCCCTCACTGCTTGTTGGCGTCCTGGCGCCTCCATTGGCTTTCCCACTGGCAGTGCTGTGTCTAGCCCACAGTCAGTTGTGTCCTGTGTGTTGTACATCCTACTGGCTATGAAAAGGTTCTCGTGGGAATGTAAGTAGCCAGGCTGAGGAGAGAAAGAACAAAGTACCTCAGAGCATATACTTCACATAGTAAAATAAAACTCCTACTGTCCTCACTGATAATGAATTTCGTATTTCTGAACTAGGGGACAGAGTGTGTGGAAATGTTTCCTTGCGGTGCACACAGCAAGTCACTTTCTGCATTTTCTTGGCAGATAGTTTCCTAGTTTCTGAATATACAATAGGGTTTTTCTTTGGATATGAATCTCTTTGTCATTAAATATATGTGCAGAAGAAATTATGAGATGCCACATCCTTGCATGGCTGCAGGGACCGAGCTACCAGTACAGTGAGGGAATGAAGAAATAATAGACACAGGGGCACAGAAAATCTAGTATCAGGCAATCTAGGCACTGATGCAGAAGCCACAGTACCCCAAAAGTTAGCCAAGTGTTTATTATATACAGTTGAACAGGGAGGCAGGGTTATTGCACACCAGCTGATCAAGAGGGTGGGGTCATTACATCAGATAAACAAGGAGACAGGACTATTGTGTACAGCTGAATGAAGAGACAGGCTTCACTAAATCAGTAGACAGGCTCTCTGTAAGACAGCAATCTTAAAAACATCGTGGGGGGAACTACGGTGAACATTTCTGCACACACTGTTAACATTCATACATGAACCAGAGGACATGCTCTCTGTAAGACAGCAATCTTAAAAACATGGTGGGGGAACTACGGTGAACATTTCTGCACACACTGTCGACATTCGTACATGAACCAGAGGATGGCTTTGCTATCTCTCCGGGCCTCGCCTTGGAAAGGCTTTGCTGCTCCCATGGGTCTGAGGCATTGGTCCTTGACACGGCTGCCTCAAGTCAACAGCGTACATCTACTGAGGATGTCACATCCACTCCAGGCTTCCTCAGCTCCCCACTAAGAAAAGGTATGGATGTGGTGGAAACCCATGCAGAATTACTTTTGTAAATGAAGTATTTAGAGTATCGTGGTAAGTGACATTGATCTGTTCACTGTGTTGTCAACAGGACACACTGTCATCTTTCCTGAAAATTCAGAGAATGGGTTAACTTTCTGCAGGCAAACACACTCCTAAATGGATCAAAAAGGAAGCCATTCATAGAAAATAACTACATCCTGCATTTCTGTGGCCACACTACATGATATACATTAATTACATTTTTAAGACATCCATAGAACATTCTCAACGGTGAAACGGATGGGACCATTAGGAAGGTTATTGTTTACTAACATGAAGGTCCTTGGATGCTCTCCTTTTGTCTTTCAGAATCAAAACTGCCTAACGACCTAGAGGCTGTAACCGCATGGGAAGATCCTGACGCTCTGTCTTCCAGCTCAGATGCTCCCGTGGTGTACCTGAAGGATGTTGTGTGTTACTTGTCCCTTCTGGAGACTGGGAGACCTCAGGATAAGCTAGAATGTAAGTGCTCACATGCTTCTCCCCTGAGGAAGACCAAAGTTCCTGTCAATCATCCCTTACACACTGGAGCTGCATCTGGGCTCTGGGGAGGTTTCTCTGACTCTAACTAGCAGTGACAACAACGTGTCCTAGAGTCTCCCCAGGACACAGCACCAGTGTTGACGTTGAGAAGGGCATCTGAGACCTTCTCCCTTTAGAAGAGGGAGATTGCTACCAAGGACTTAAGATTGCTTCATCTGGCATGGCCTCCTGAGTTCCTCAGAAAGCTGCAGCCTCGTCTTGATAATTTTTTTTTAAGAAAAGATACTCAACATCTAATCTTCCCCCGTGGGAGCATAGGACCTCCTTCCTTCCCTCCCTCCCTGGTCTTTCCCATTTATGTCATTTATTTTAAGACAAGTTCTCTTAAAATAAATGTAGCCTCGGCTATCTTGGAACTCACTATGTAGATCAGGCTGGACTTGAATTCCCAGAGATTGGCCAGCCTCTGCCTCCTTAGTGCTGGGATTAAAGGCCTATGCCTGCATATCAGGAAATGCCCCCATTTTCTTTCTTCCTCCCTTTCCTCTTTCTTCTCTCTCCCTCCCTCCCTCCCTCTTTCCCTCCCTCCTTTCCTTTCTCCCTCCCTCTCCCTTCTTATTTCCCTGGAGTTCTAATAAGCCCCAATCTTGGTAGAATTTACTTCCATTTCACCACTCATGCCTTATACTCAAGCTCATTGCTCACCAGAAGAGTTGAGTTTGGTTTTGTGGTGCTTCAAAGACAGTTTCAAAAACAGGAGTGCTGTAAGAGCTAGGCAAACGGAGCCTGTGGTCTTGAAAAACCATCCTAGGATGGCTTTCCTGGCCTCTGGAGCTATTGGCATGCCTTTCTAAGCAGATGAAAGGAACCTGTCACAGAGGTCATCTTGGAAACTTAAGTAGCAGCAAAGAAATAACTTTTGTAGCAAAAGTTAAAATTCAGCTAATAAAACTAGTCCACGAAATTTAGACGTTACCAAGAGAATTATGCCAAAGGTTGACTCTGCCAAACAGGATCTGACAAGCTTGTTCATTGACTTAACTAAACTCTCCCATAGGCTGGGGGTGTTCGGGATGCAAGTCTTAAGTGCTAATTTGGTGCAAATGTAGCAGATTTCCTTTCTGTTCTGGCTAAAGTTAAAAGTGAAATATCAAATTATTTCCAACAGTTAGGAGGGCTTTGCGCTTTAGGCATTGTGTGTGTTGGTGATCGCCAAGGAGGATGTGTCAGATCCTTCAAGTTAGTGCCATTCAGACTGACTTTTTTTTAACAGAAGGAGGAAAAAATTCTGTTTTTTTTTCAATAAACAGACTGTTTTTCTTTCTCATATATTACATCTAGACCATGGTTTCCCCTCCCTTCACTCCTCCTTTCATACTTTGCCTTTCAAACCTTTCCCTCAGATCTACTTTTTTTCATTTTCCCCTCAAAAAAGGGCAGGTCTCCCAGGGATATCAATGGAACATGGCATAACAAGCTACAATAAGACTAAGCACAATAAGATGAGACAACCTGGCAGGATAAAAAAGGGTTCCAAGAGCAGGCAAAAGAGTCGAGACACCCCCACTCTCACTGTTAGGCATCCCACAAGAACACCAAGATAAACAACTATGACATATATGCAGAGGCCTGGGCTCAGACCCATACAGTCTCCGTAGTTGTTGCTTCAGTCTCTGTGAGCCCCTATGAGCCCTGCTTAGTTGGTTCTGTGGGCTGCGTTCTCGTTGTATTCTTGACCTCTCTGGCTGCTATAATCCTTCCACCCTCCCCTTCCTTGGCAGGGTTCCCCTGGCTCTTGCTAGTGTTTGGCTGTGGGTCTCTGTATCTGTTTCTATCAGTTGCTGTTTGACACCTCTGATGACAATTAGGCACTAATCCATGAGTATAGTAGAATATCATTAGAAATCATTTCAGTGTCTTTTTTCAGTCGTGTCTGGTTCTGTTCTGGTCTCTGGGCAGTCCAGACTCTAGATCCTGGCCATCTAGGCAGTGTCAGCTATGCTTCCTCTCATGGCATGGGTCTCAGTCATGGACTAGTCATGAGACGGTCACTCCCACAAGTTCTGTGATACCTTTACCCCAGCACATCTTGCAGGCAGGACAGATAGTAGGTCAAAGGTTTTGTGGCTGGGTTGGTATCCCAACCCCACTGCTAGAAGCCTGATTATAGAAGATGACCAGTTCAGGCTCTGTATCCTCCATTACCTGGAGTCTTCGCTAGGGTCATCCTCATAGATTCTAGGTAGTTTCCACTGCACTGTTTCCACATTGCCCCTCAAATGCCCCCCAATTCCAGATGTCCTTCCTAGTAGTCTCTCCCTGACTCCCCCTACCACCACCTGATCCTTCCTGTCCCCATCCCTGCCCATAGTTTTCTATTCTATTTCTCCTTCCCAGGGAGATCCTCCTTGTTACCTAACTTCTCTGGGTCTATGGATTGTAGCATGACTATCCTTTACTTTACAGCTAATATCCACTTAGAAGTAATTACATACCATGTTTGTCTTTCTGGGTCTGGGTTACCTCACTCAGGATGACTTTTTCTGCTTACATCCATTTGCCTGCAAAATTATGATGTCATTGTTTTAACAACTGAGTAAAATGCCATTGTGTAGATGTACCACATTTTCTTTATTCTTCAGTTGAAGGATATCTAGGTTGTTTCCAGTTTCTGGATATTATGAATAAAGCTGTTATGAACATAGTTGTGGTATAATGGAGCATCCTTTGGGAATGTGCCCAATAGTGATACAGCTGGGCCTTAAAGTAGCTTGGGTCCCAATTCTCTGACACTGATGTATTGATTTCCAAAGGGACTATACAAGTTGGCACTCACACCAGCAATGGAGGAGCGTTACCCTTGCCCTACATCCTCTGCTGTCACTTCTGTTTTTGATCTTAGCCATTGTGACAGGTATAAGGTGGAATACCAGAGTCCTTTTGACTTGCATTTCCCTGAGAACTAAGGATATCAGACGTTTCTTTAGGGGTTTCTCCACTATTTGAGATTCTGCTGTTGAGAATTCTCTGTAGCTGTATGCCATTTTTAATTGGATTATTTGGTGTTTTGATATCTGGTTTTTTGAGTTCTTTATATATTTTGGATATTATTCCTCTGTCAGGTATGAAGTTGGTGAAAAATCTTTTCCTAGTCTGTAGGCTGCTGCTTTGTTCAAATAAAGGTGTTCTTTGCCTTACAGAAGAAGCTTTTCAGTTTCATGAAGTCCCACTTACAGATTGCTTAGTGTCCATGCTATTGGTGTTCTGTTCAGAAAGTTGTCTCTGGTGCCAATGCATTCAATGATATTTCCCACTGTCTCTTCTATTAGGTTCAATGTGTCTGGTTGATCCACTTGGACTTGAGTTTTGTGCAGGGTGATAGATATGAATCTATTTGCATTCTTCTAAATGCTGACATCCAGTTATGCTAGTTCCATTTGTTGAAGATGCTTTCTTTTTTCAATTGTGTATTTCTGGCTCCTTTATAAAAATCAGGTGTCCAGAAGTATGTAGATTTACAACAGGGTCTTTGATTCAATTCCATTAATCAACTTGTCTGTTTTTATGCCAATACCATGCAATTTTTATTACTATATCTCTGTAGTACACCTTGCAATCAGGGATGGTGACACTTCCAAAGTTCTATTGTACAGGATTGTTTTAGCTATCTCCTGGGTTTTTTCTTTTTCCATATAAAGTTGAGTACTGTCTTTCAATGTCTGTAAAGAATTGTGTTGGAATTTTTATGGGGATTGTGTTGAATCTGTAAATTGCTTTTGGTAAGATGGTTGTTTTTACTATGTTAATCCTACCGATCCAATAGCACGAGAGATGTTTCCAATTCCTAGTATCTTCTCGATTTCTTTCTTCAAAGACTTGAAGGTTTTTATTATTTAAGTCTTTCACTTGCTTGGTTAGAGTAACCCCAAATTATTTTATATTATTTGTGGCTATTGTGAAGGGTGTTGTTTCCCTGATTTCTTTCTCAGCCCATTTGTCATTTTATATAGGAGGGTTACTGATTCTTTTTAGTTAATCTTGTATACAGTCGCTTCACTAAAGCTGTTTATCAGCTGTAGGAGTTCATTGGTAGAATTTTTGGGGATGCCTATTTTTATTATCATATTATCTTCAAATAATAATACGGTGACTTCTTCGTTTCCAATTTGTATCCCCTTCATCTCCTTTAGTTGTCTTTTTGCTCTAGCTAGAACTTCAAGTACTATATTGAATAGGTAAAGAGTTTTGTTTCTTGTTCCTTGTTCCTGATTTTAGAGGAATTGCTTTCCATTTATCTCCATTTAATTTTATGTTGGCCACATGCTTACTCTAAATTGCCTTTATTATGTTTAGGTATGTTGCTTCTATCCTTAATCTTTCCAAGACTTTTATCATGAAAGGGTGTTTGATTTTGTCAAAGGCTTTTTTGGTGTCTAATGAGATGATCATGTGGTGGTTATTTTTCTTTCACTTTGTTTATGTGGTAGATTATATTGACTGATTTCTGTGTGTTGAACCATCCCTGTATCTGTAGGATGAAGCCTACTTGGTCATGGTGGATGATCTTTTTAATGTGTTCTTGGATTTGCCAGAATTTTATTGAGTATTTTCACATCCATGTTCATGAGGGAAATTGGTTGGTAATTCTCTTTATTTGCTTATTCTGTCTGTCATTTCAGTATGAAGGTGACTGTAGCTTCATAAAATGAATTTGGCAAAGTTCCTCTGTTTCTATTTTGTGGAATAATTTGAGGAGTATTAGCATTAGCTCTTTTTGAAAGTCTGAAAGTCTGGTAGAATTCTGTGCTAAAACTGTCTAGCCCTGGGCTTTTTTGGGGGGAGACTTTTAATAACTACTTCTATTTACTTAGGAGTTATAGATCTATTTAAAATTTTTATCTGATCTTGATTTAACTTTGGTAAGTAGTATCTATTGAGAAAATTATCTATTTCTTTTAGATTCTCCAATTTTGTGGAGTACAGGTTTTTAAAGTATGACCTAATAATTCTTGGGATTTCTTTGGTGTCTGTTTGTTATGTCTCCTTTTCATTTCTGGTTTTGATAATTTGGAGGTTCTCTCTTTGCCTTTTAGACAGTTTATATAAGGGTTTGTCTTGTTGATTTTCTCAAAGAACCAATTCTTTGTTTCATTGATTCTTTGAACTATTCTCTTTGTTTTTATTGATTTCAACTCTTGGTTTGATTATTTCTTGCCATCTACTTTTCTTAGATCTACTTACTTCTTTTTGTTCTAGAGTTTTTAAGTGTGCTGCTAAGTTGCTAGAATGTTGTTCCAATTTCTTTATGAAAGCACTTAGCGGTGTGAACTTTCCTCTTAGCATGGCTTTCATTGTGTTCCATAAGTTTGGGTATGTTGTGCATTCATTTTCATTGAATTCTAGGAAGTCTTTAATTTCCGTTTTTATTTTTGCTTTGACCCAGTAGTCATTCAGTAGGGAGTTGTTCAGTTTCCATGAGTTTGTAGGCTTTCTGTTATTTGTGTTGTTTAAATCCAGCTGAAATCCAGCTTTAATCAGTGATGGTTTGATAGGATGCTGGAGGTTATTTTAACTTTCTTGTATCTGTTGAGAATTGCCTTTTGACCGACTATGTGGTCAGTTTTAGAGAATGTTCCATGGGAAGAAGTACTCTTTTGTTTTGGGGCAAAGTGTTTTGTGGACATCTGTTAGGTCCACTTGGTTCATAACATCTATCAGTTCCAGTATTTCTCTATTTAATTTTGTCTGGGTAATCTGTCCATTGGAGAGAGTGAGATATGAAGTCTCCCACTATCAATGTGTGAGGTGAGAGTAGATATGTGATTTAAGACTTCATAGTGTTCCCTTTACAAATGTGGGTGCCCTTACATTTGGGACATAGATGTTAAGAATTGAAAGATCATCTTTGTGGATTTTTCCTTTTAATGGTTATGAAGTGTCATTCCCTGTCTCCTTTAATTAGTTTTGGTTTGAAGTCTATTTTGTTAGATATTAGTATAGCTACAGCAGCTTGTTTCTTAGGTCTAAGTTGCTTGGAAAATATTTTTCTATCCCTTTATTCTGAGGTAACATCTGTCTTTGATGTTGAGGTGTGTTTCTTGTATGCAGCAGAAGGATGGATCTTGTTTTGCATCCATTTTGTTAGTCTGTGTCTCTTTATTGGAGAATTGAGTTCCACTGATATTGAGAGATAGCAATGACCAATGATTGTTAATTCCTGTTATTTTGTTGTAGTTGGTGGTGGTGGTGAGAGAGAGAGAGAGAGAGAGAGAGAGAGAGAGAGAGAGAGAGAGAGAGAGAGAGAAAGAGAGACAGACAGACAGACAGACAGACAGAGAGACAGACAGAGAGACAGAGACAGAGAGAAACAGAAAGACAGAGAAAGAAAGTTTCCCTTCTTTGGGTTATACTGGTGTGAAATTATTTACTTCCTGTATTTTCATGGGTATAGTTAACCTCCTAGGTTAGAATTTTCCTTCTAGTAACTTCTGTAGAACCAGATTTGTGGATAGATATTGTGTAAATTTGACCTTATTACGGAACATCTTGTTTTCTCCATCTATGGTGATTGAAAGTTTTGCTAGTCATAGTAATTTGGGCTGGTATCCATGGTCTCTTAGAGTCTACAGGACATATGTCCAGGCCCTTCTGGCTTTTAGAGTCTCTGTTGAGAATTCAGGTATAATTTTGGTATGTCTGCCTTTATATGTTACTTGGCCTTTATCCTTTGCAGCTTTTAATAGTCTTTCTTTGTTCTGTATATTTAGTGTTTTGATTATTATGTGGCAGTGGGACTTTCTTTTTTGGTCCAGTCTATTTGGTGTCCTACGTGTTTCCTGTACCTTTATAGACATGACCTTCTTTAGGTTAGGAAAATTATCTTGCATGATTTTGTTGAATATATTTTCTAGGACCTTGAATTGGGATTCATCTCCTTCTATTCCTATTATTCTTAGGTTTGATCTTTTCGAATTGTTCCAGATGTCCTGGATGTTTTATGTCAGGAATTTTTTCGATTTAACATTTTCGTGAAATAGATGTATCTATTTCTTCTTTCGTATCTTCAATGCCTGAGATTCTCTCTCCATTTCTTACATTCTGTTGGCAATGCTTGCATCTGTAGTTCTTGTTCACTTATATTTTGCATTTCCAGAATTCCCTCAGGTTGTGTTTTCTTTATTGCTTCTATTTCCATTTTCAAGTCTTGAACTGTTTTATTAGTTTCCTTCATCTGTTTGGTTCCTCCCCCTCCTCCCCCCCCCCCCGTCTTGACTCTCTTTAAGGGATTTATTCATTTCTTCTAGTCTTTTGGCTGTGGTTTCTTGAGAGATTTATTCCTTTCCTCTTTGAGGAACTCTATCATCCTCATCAAGTTGATTTTAAGGTCATTTTCTTGTGCTTCACTAGAAATATTCAGGGCTTGCTGTAGTAGGATATCTGGACTCTTGTGGTGATGTATTTCCTTGGCTGTTGTTGATTATGTTGTTATACTGACGTCTAGGTATCTGGGTTGGGGGTCATCATAAGTCTAGGTGCTGCTTTCTGAGTTTGTCTTTGTTGGATGGGTGTTTTGTTCCTTGGTTTCTGTTTCCTTCCTAGCCTTCTGGCTGGAGTGGCCTACAGTTCAGTAGAAGGTTTCCACTCGAGTAGAGAGCTGGGCTTGTGATGGCCAAGGGTTTCCACTGAAACTGGGAGCTAGACTTCGGGCTGCCAGTGTGGCCTCTGGTCCAGTCATAGGTCCTCCACTGGAGTTAGGGGCCATGATATGGTAACAAGGAGACAAGGGCACTTGGGTGTTGGCTGGGAGAGCACTGAGGGAGAGGGGGCGGTCTGCAGGCAGAGGGCTTACATGCAAGTCTGGTTGCATTATGGCCTCTAGTGAGGCAGAGGGCTTCCATAGGAATTGTGGGTCAGAATATGGTGACAAGAAGAGGAATGGCACGTGGGGGTAACGCTGAGGGGGTGAGGGCAGTCTGCAGGCAGAGGGCTTACCTGGAGTTTCATCTAAGTTTTTTTTTTTAAATATAGAAAATTTCAGAGAAAGATGACAGCTGAGTTCAGTGAACATGAAGTGTGAGCCCCAAAGCTTCCACCATTAGCACTAACACCGTCACTCTTATCTAGTCATACGCTCCCACCCACTCTGCTTCCGATTTTTTCAAAGCAGATTCTGGGGTCACAGGATTTCATCTGGAAATAATTCAGTCTATACCTCTAAGATGACTTATCCTTAAGTGGAACCCCAACACTATAGTCATGTTCAAATACAATGTTACTGCACTATTGCCACGCATAACCAACACATGTCCCCACCAGTCATGGATGCTCACTGTTTGTTTGAATCACCTTCCCACGGAGCCCACACACTGTCATGAACCTCTATATCTCTTCAGTGTCTGTTAGTTTTTGGTTCCTCTCCATCTTCAGCTAATGTTTTCCCTTAGAACCTTTGGTGCAGATAGGGTCGTGTATTCAGCATTTTCGTTGGTTTGGGTTTTTTTATCCTATCAATCTAAATCATTCTCTCATTTTAATGACTGAAAACAAGTTAAGTGTCTCTACTTTGAGAACTAACCATGCATCTTTTTTTGGAGTCATCCCTGAAACTCTACCTGTTGTCAAAGCAAGAGCACCTCCCATCAGCTTAACACCATGTATTTATCTGCTAAACATTTTGAATCTGTCTTCTCACTTACTGTCAGTGTCATAATAACCCTGGAAGGGATGACATTTACCCAAATATCTGAATATGTATATGCATGTATATATATGTATTTGCATATATATGTATATGCATTTCCCTAATCCAAAACTACACAAATCTGAAATACTCCTGATTCCCAGCATTTGGGACAGAGAGTGATCCAGAAAATTCAACATCTTGAATGAATGTCCTATGGCCCCTGCAGCAGCAACACTTCATATCATTATGATTAAATGAATACAGCAGTATCCGATGCCTAAGGAATGTCATATGTAAATATTCACTAATAGAAGAAAAGAAAGATGATTTGTTACCTGTTTTGTGCATTCTGAGACCTATCAATTGCCATAGCCACTAATATTAATCCTTACGACCACCCTAGGAAAAATAATTACAGTTTCCATCTTACAGATAAGGAGACTGATCCCAGAAGGAAAATAACTTCTTTGACATCCCAGAAGTGGTAGTGCACACCAAGACTGGAACATGTCTAACTCTGCACTCTTCTGTATATGGTAGAGGCGAAGGTCCTGCTGTGATTTTGGTGCCTCTGCCCACCCAGCTGCTGGACACCAGTTTTTAAGTCGTGTCCAGGCGACACTGAAAGATGTGCATGCCCTCCAGGGAGTCTCACTTGTGACCTGGATCTCATGTGTCACAGAGTCACTGCTCAGAAGGGTCCAAAAGCCAAGGGCCTCATTCTTTTCCCTGGCTTCACCTCATCCCTAAGAAGTCATATTCTGGCACTTAGAGGGTTAGTTAGCTGTAATGGCCTGTGCCCCAATGCTGCCCAGGTCTAGGCTAAAAGTGGGAGTAGCAGGACATCAGCCATGCTGATTCCTGGAGGACACCTTGGGCTTAACTTGTGTGTTTCTTGCAGTCATGTTTCGTCTCTATGATTCTGATGAAAATGGACTCCTGGACCAAGCGGTAAGCTTTCACTTTCAATAATGCCCTACAATTTGAGGAAAAGGAAGAAGAGCAGGGTACAGCGATGGAGCATCCAAACACCCCAGTTCCATCCCGACAGGAACTGCTGGCCTGGCTAAGGGATGCTTATCACGAGCAAAATCCCTGTCTGCTGCTTCCAGAGAGTCAGCCCATAGCGCATAGATTTCAATTTTTCTTCTTCTGGCCCTAAAAGCCTGGAATTACACAATCTCAGGCTAGGGAGAGATTTTCACATTTTCATCAAATGTAACTTCCCTGTCCACAGACTTCCCTTGAAATTTCCTGCTGGGACCCAGGGGGTCAAGAGGAGGGGAGCAGAGAAGCAGCAGGGCCAGGGCAAGAGGAAGAGAGGAAGGTTACTGGCGAGCTTCCAATCTACCCAAGCTTAGGAGCCTGCCCCGTCCTGTCTGTTCCAAGCCCTGTACCCTCACCTCAGCCCTTCAGGAGGAGGAGGCAAGAACAGGTCAGGACCAGAGAGCGAGAGGAAGGCTAGGGAGAGAAAAGTCCAAGGAAGAAGGAGGCCCTGGATCCAGGCTTTGTGGTCATGACTGACTGCCCAAGCTTATAAACAGTAAGGCTCTGAGACTGAAGTGTGTATGGCTGGCTGAAACCAGAAAAAGAAAGGAAGGAAAAGAGAGAGGGAGGGACAGAGAGAGGAAAGGAGAGACAAAGGAAATAAGTCCTCTAGGCCAATGAGCCATGCCAACTCTCTCTGCCCCAGCGCCTTCGTGGTCTCTCCAGCACTGCTGCAATGCTGTGGGCTGTGGCCTTTGATGGCACAAGCACAGACTCTAGCAAAACACAAGCATTCATTTCCTGGGGTTTACATGGTGTCTTGTGCTACTCAGAGCGCTAGGGATGCTTTATTGTGGCCAAACAATGAAGTTCTTTTCCCTCTTAAAGCTTTCATTCTAGTCCAGGCATCACTAAATAGCATAACAGAAACCTGTGGGTCTGGACATGGTGAGACACACCTGTCACCTCAGCACTCAGGAAGCAGAGGCAGGAGAATCATTAGTACCTGTCTCAAAATAGAAGGGGGTGGGGTGAGGCCGGGAACATAGCTCAGTGATAGAGCATTTGCCTAGCCTAAGACCTCAATTCAGTCCCAGCATTGCAAAAGCTAAAACCGTAAGGTATAAAATACATATGTATACTTACACAGTACTTGGTAGATGTCTACTAAAAATAAAGGAAGTAGGAAACATGGGAGGGAGTTACCGCCTTCAGAAAGGTTGTCGAGGAAGGCCTGCCTGAGGAAGGGACATCAGAACAGAGGCTTGGAGAAGGTGCTATCTAGGGAAAGATCCCCCTAGGTAGAGAACACTGAGTGCAAAGATCCTGGTGCATGCCCAGGATGCTGGAGGATTAAGAGGAAACTGAACTAGTTACAGAGGAGCGAGTGAAGAAATAGAGTGGAGGACCAAGGAGACCACAGACGTCATGCGTGAGTGGGGGCGGGGCACCAAGCACGTGAGGTTTTATTGGTAGTTGAAAGGGTTTCCCTTAACCTCTAGAGAAATGAGAAGACATCCAAGGTTATGAACAGAAGTGACATATTTGGATGTCTCACCCATCGCTCTAGAGACACATCAAGTAGACTACAAGCAGGTACACCAGACAGAGACCTAAGGAAACGATCAGGGCACAGAACAATGGTAACCTTGGACAAGACAGGAGTACTGCAGGTGGTAACTGGTTCAATCCAGAATACATTTTAAAGATAATGTTAGGGGACGGAAACAAGTCTCAAAAGCATCCTCGGACTCAGCTCACCACTGGCTGGTGAGGTCCCAGCTCCTTTGTGAACACTCTCCATGATGAAGAAGCCACTCCTCCATAATGGCTGTCCCACTGCTGGGAAAGAGCTGGACAGGGCTGACTGCCTGCATGCCAGTATGTGTTTGCCAGACAACACACAATACACTGCTGTGCCTCCTTCCCCAACGCAGGAGGGAATCAAAATAGGCAGCCCTCATTGTCCCTTGCATCCCTCTGCTCCCAGCTGCCCTCTGCGGCTAACCAGGGTGAGGGAAACACTAACTACACAATGACCTTGAGTGTTTAAAAGTGCCATCACATCTTACACAAAATCTCCTCCAAACCAAAGGATCCCCGTTCTACACTGTTTCTCACTGGCTGTTTTATATACCCACACTGGACAAATTCCAGCTTGTCAACGCCATCATTAAAACACAGTGTACAAGAGAACCTGCCCACTCATCTCTTTACGTAGTCAGATGTGGCCTGGCCAGGGTAGAAGGGGACCTACTTCTTCCTGAAGCTGGACCACTCTGCTTCTGTTTGCACACACCACCATGAGTCTCGTGCTCAGTTCCTAAGTCACATTATCTCATAGAATCCCAGACCCCAGGAGACTGCAAACTTTTCCACTGAAACCTTGTCCCCAATTCACTGCACTCAGTCGCTGCCTCATCCTATAGCTTTGCTGTGGGTCACTGTTACCATTTGGGTAAAGCACTGTTTGCAAGAGGCTGAAGGAAGAGAACCTCAGTTCGTGTCCAGCATGAGATGGAAGAGGAGAAGATGGAAGGGGGAGAGAGTGAGGCAGAGACAAAGTGACGTGCAGAGATGATATGTATCTGTGTCTGGGGTTGCAGAGATGACTCAGGGGTTAAGGGTGAATACTGCTCTCACAGAGGACCCAAGTTCAGTGCCTAGCACTCATGTTTGGGAGCTCACAACCACCTGTACCTGCAGCTCCAGAGGATCTGATGCCCTCTGCAGGAACCTGTACTCACATGCATAACACACACACACACACACACACACACACACACACACACACACACACATAAAATGTATCTTAAAAAGCTGTTGAGGCTTAGCTTGCTTGGCTTAACTCTAAATTCTGCACGACAGAAGCAACACTTTCCAGTCTTTCTTCAGCTTGCCCACACAGTCTCCAAGTGAACTCTTACTGTGAACACCTTAGGTAGTAATCCACACATAAGATGCTGACATGGAATACTTCCCCAGCACAATGTTTCCATGGGTCCCTCTATGCGGTGACTCGCCAGCATCTGGCACATTGGTAACATTTTAGGTAGAGACAGGTTCCCTAGGCTCAGAGTTGACTACAATGCAAAGGAGAGAAGAGATGATGGAATTAATGTAAATCACAGTGCTTGAGCCAAGACCAACACAGGTGTGGACCTTACTCCAAAGGCAGACAGACAGAATGAAAGCAAGTGACTAGAATGGTAAAGAGAGGCAGAGGGAAAGGAGGGAAGGAAGGAAGGAGGGAGGGAGGGAGAGAGAGAGAGAGGGAGAGAGAGAGAGAGAGAGAGAGAGAGAGAGAGAGAGAGAGAGAGAGAGAGAGAGAGAGAGAGAGAGAGAAAACAAGAGTCAAGATTTCCTCTGGTTTTCAGGCCGAAGCACAGGATGGTGGGAGGAGGGAGAGACTTGGGGTGAGTGCTCCAGGTGCTCTGTGTAGCTCTGGCTTTCACATGCTCTGTATCTACTGTCCACTGGCCTCGGTGGTCAAGACAAAATAAAGCCGCCGCCCTTGTGGGACGCCAGTGTACTGCATCAGCTTTTCATCATGCCCCGCCCCGCCCCGCCCCGCCCACCAGGTTTGATTTGGAGCCTTGCTCTTATTGTGATTAAAAACAAAACAACAACAAACTTTGGTTTTCTCCCTTTGATATTTTCTCTCCTGATATCTTCTAGGAGATGGATCAGATTGTGACCCAAATGCTGCATATCGCCCAGTACCTGGAGTGGGATCCCACAGAGCTCAGGCCTGTGAGTTTCTATAAACACAGTTCACTCCAGAGACAGCCTTCTGGAGGGAGCGGGCCACACCTGGGATGTGGGTGCAATGGTTGGATGCTTGCTGTGTGGTTCCCGCAGACCAACTTTCCAGCAGCTTCTTTGGAGCACTGAACTTTAACCTCCTATTTCTCCAGCAGAAAAAAAAATGTTTGATGAAGCAAAAGGAGGTCTAGACACTGTAGAAACTGCAGTTTCCCCACCTTCCCACCAGAAGCAGTTTTATGACAGGAGTTCATAGAATGGAGGGGTTAGAGCCTGAAATAATTTGGGGGGAAGCTGTCAATCATCGGCTGTTAATGTTAACGGCACTGGTGTGTGCTTCATATCAGGTATTAGATTCAACACTTTATGCATTTCCTCCCATCCTTGCTACCATGCTGTGAACACAGCAGTAGTATTTCCGTGTTAAGATTAGCAATCCAGAGCACAGAGAGCTAGGGTGAGCCACCTAAGGGCAGGGCAGGGCAGAGCTGGACCTAGAATCCTGGTGTTTGCACTGCTTTGGTCCTTTGCCACTTTACTCTGAATAAGAGGGGAAATTGACGGAACAGAAAACATAACACAGAACCAAAGAGAAAGCAGAGGCATCCAGAAAAGGATGGAAATGAACCATTGCTCTTTGAATTCCACAGATATTGAAGGAGATGTTGCAAGGAATGGACTACGACAAGGATGGCTTTGTGTCTCTACAGGAGTGGGTCCATGGGGGGATGACCACCATCCCATTGCTGGTCCTCCTGGGAATGGATGACTCTGTAAGTCAGGACTCTTATGTTCAATAGCTCTGGATTCCATATTGTTGCTAGTGTGTGCTCCAGACTTCCTGATGGGCAAGCCATGCACTCCAGGTTGGCCCCAGGGTGCTCTATATTTTCATCCCTTTCGCTTGTTCATGCCCAAGTATATTGAACCTGAGTTCAATTCCCAGAACCCATGTGGCGAAAGAAAAGAGTTAACTTCCTTGTCATCTGACCTCCACATGCTGTGACACAAATGTAATTTTAAATTTTAAAACTAAAAGAATTGGCAAAGGACTGATCAAGACCCCCTGAATGTGGGTGTCAGTGAGGAGGCCTAGGTAATCTATTGAGCCTTGGGCAGTAGATCAGTATTCATCCCGAGTATACACACGGACTTTGGACTCCCATCCAACAATGTGAGATGCACTCTCACCCTGAAACTTGGGGGGAGGGTCTAGGCCCTGCCCTGGATGAAATGACAGACTATGGACACCCCCATGGAGGGCCTCATCCTCCCTGGGGAAATGAGGGGATAATGGAGGAGTTGGAGGGAGGGCACGGGAGGAGGGGAGGGAAAGGGAGAGGGACCTGGAACTGACTTGTGAAGCAACCTTGTTTCTTATCTAAATTTAAACTGAAAAATAAAAAAAATTAATAAAAAAAAAGAATTGGCAAAGGAAGGAAGGGAGTGGGAGAAAATGATCTGTTGTAGGAGCTGTCATGAGTGGACTCGGGTTTAGCAATCAAAACAGATAAGGTAGGTCTTTTTATCCCAATGTGAGTCAATGGAAAACTGAGGTTCTAAGCAGAAGTGGGTTTTGTACCTCGCTCCAAATTCCTCACACGTTCCAACACCCTACACTTTAGTCAGAGCAGTGAGAAAAACCTTGGAGGGTATTTGGCTTATCCCTAAAGAATCAGCAAGATTTTGAGACCTGATTCTGTTTTCTATTATGCAGGTATGTGTGCATGTGTGTGTGTGTGTGTGTGTGTGTGTGTGTGTGGTATGGTGTGGTGTGTGTGGTGTGTATGTGTGTGTGTGTGTGTGGTGTGGTGTGTGTGTGTGGTGTGGTGTGGTGTGTGTGTGTTGTGTGTGTGTGGTGTGTGTGTGTATGTGTATGTGTGGTGTGTATGTGTATGTGTGGTGTGTGTGTGTGTGTGTGTGTGTGTGTGTGTGTGTTGAACCAAAGGCCTCACACATCCTAGGTGAGCACTCTGCAACTGGTCTATATCTCCATTTTTTTCACCTTTTATTTTGAGTCAAAGTCTCAAAGTCTTGCTCATTTGCACAGGCTGGCCTTGTAGCCCAGGCTTGCTCTGTGGCCCAGGCAGGTCTTGTTGCTTGAACTTGTGGTCCTTCTGATTCAGCATCCAGAGCAGCTAGATTTACAGGCCTGCACACCGGGCCTGATTTCATTACACGTTCTGGCTCTTATACATAATGTGGCTGGAAGAGTCCTCTGCAATTCTTGTTCTATCCCTTTCATTATCCAAATGGAAGCTGGCGGGGTAAAGACTAGCCAAAGACACACACCTAAGCAGAGGCCCAGCCGCGACACTCAGGTACATTAGAACATTCATACAGTGACCTCTCCCTGAGTGGCTATACATACAAGAATCCACATGAGCTCTAAGAAGTGACATAGGCTGTTGTCCATGCTCACTTGGCACTGGAGCAAGAGGGAAACTCTCCTTGGTAGCTGTCCTAACACACTGCTGTCCTTTTGATTTGTTCTCATTTGGGGGGAACGAAACCTTTGAAGCACAAGGAACCAATTTCTGTTCCTCCATCCGTTGACTGTGCACCCCAATATCTTGTATGGAAAGAGCCCACATTTCTGTGTATTTCTTCAATATCCTTTCCAATGTCCCCTTCAAACACCAAATCAGCCTTGAGTAAAACTAGAATTCACATCACAAAGCAAAAAAAAAGAAAAATACAAATTTCATTGATATTAACCAAAATCCTTATAAGTCTATTGTAAGTGTGCGCTAAATAAGTTTTTAATGAGTAATATCCAGCCTCTAGAGAAAGCCCCACCAATGTCTTGAATGACCTGCTGCTTTCTTGACATTTTCACTCACACATATGATCACAGAGCATGCAAATGTCTGGCTCCTGGTAAAATTGGAGCAATGGGGTAAAACCTGGCCAGAAACAAACGAACCACACGATGGCGCTATAACCCCAGGCAGAAGCTTGATTTGAGCCCCTCAGCCATTTGCTTCTTAGAGCTGAGGGTTTACAGGGAGGAGAGGGAGGCTTAGATAACAGAGATGTTTCCAGATAAAATGCGGGTTCTCTAGCTGGTGAATAGGACTGCTGACAGGGTGCTACGTTTCCTTCCGCCCAGGAAATCCTCGTAGAAGGTGGTGTAGAAGAGTGAACACTGACTCCTGCCTGCCGTTCATTCTATCTGCGGCACTGGCCTACTTACAGAATTCCCGAGACCGCTTGGTTTTTGGTTTTTTATCTGTATGCTAATAATAAACTTACCACTCTCCACTACTTTTGTACCCCTAGTATTCGCTTGGGGCAGATATCTGCCAAAGGGATGAATAAATTGGGCTTTTTAGTGAATTGCGTGCCCAAGTGTAGACCCTTGGGTAAAGGAGCCTTAACTTGGTATGACTCAAGTTTTAAAGAGGGTTTTGAAGTAGTAAGAAGACAAAAGTTAGGGGAACAGGTAAGAATTTAACAAAGAGGGCTGGAGAGATGGCTCAGTAGTTAAGAACACTGGCTGCTCATCCAGAGGTCCTTAGTTCAATTCCCAGCAACTACATGGTGGCTCCCAACCGTCTGTAATGAGGTCTGGTGCCCTCTTCTGGACTGCAGGCATACTTGTAGGCAGAACACTGCACACATAATAAATAAATAAATAAATAAATAAATAAATAAATAAATAAATCTTAAAAAAAAAAGAATTTGACAAAGAATGTGGACTCCAAGGACCACAGTCTAGGTCCAGCAGCAGGGCTGGCCACAGCAAGCGGTACTGAGTCATGACACCCAGATGTAAGGACTGGACTCCATGCTCCTGACCACACATCCAAGGTTAACTTTACAACCACAGTTTTCACTGCCCTTCAGACCACACCCAGTACTGCTCAAGATGTAACCCTGAGAAATCTTCAGCAGTCAAGATACCCCTAAAGCCAGACTGTTGCCAGGTGGTGTACCAGGGACTGGAATATGGAGGACCTGGCACACCAGAGAAAATGTGACCATGCTCATACGCATATATTGCTCATACATGCTGTGACTGAGACAAGTTTTGCCCCTGAGCTACCTGGGAGACAAATACTAGTTATCTCTGTAGCTCTCACTTAGTATTGTTGTTGTTTTAGTTGCGTGTATTTATTTACATGGAGTGGGGCTCTCTACACACATGGTGTACTTGCAGAGGTCCGAGGATGACAGCCTTCAAGAGTTAACCTTTTGCTGCAGAGTGTCGAACTCAGGTTATCAAGTGCCTCTACCCACTGCGCAATCTCACCAGCCCTCACTTCAGTATTTTCTCTGTTTGCAGAAAGTTGGTATAAGCACACATATAACATACATGTGTGTGCGTGTGCATGCGTGTGTGCATGTGTGCGTGCCTGTGTGTGTGTTCATACGCATAAAATAAAATAGATCTAAAAGACATTTAAGTTGGTGTTAAGCATATTATTAGCCAGGTAGTGGTGGCAGCACATGCATTTAGTCCCAGCACTTGGGAGGCAGAGGCAGGCAGATCTCTGAGTTTGAGGCCAGCTTGGACTACAGAGTGAGCTCCAGGATAGCCATAGATACACAGATAAACCCTGTCTCCAAAAAAAAAGTATATTATTTTTACTAAGCCATTTGTTCTTAATTATAATGCTAGTCTATACTCACCAGAGAAATTTCAGAAAATATGAAAGAAATCAGAAACTAGAGGGGGGAAAGCCAAATACACTGCTTCTAGACATAGCTAACTTTGGTTAACAGGTGCATGAAACATTTACCATTAAATATCTTTAAATATCTTTTATTTGTTTGCTCGTTTGTTTGTATTTTGAGACAGGGTCTCTCTAAATAGCCCTGGCTCATCTATTTTCTCAAAAATTATCTCTTTAGATTAGAGTCCAAGGAGGAATGCTGGCAATTCAAAGATTGCAATTATTAATGATTCTTCAGATAGACAGGTGAGATAGATATAGATAGATAGATGGTATATATGTGCATATATACATATATACATATATACATAGGAAGATAGAGAGATAGGCAGGCAGGTAGTCAGGTAGACAGATGATAGATAGATAGATAGATAGATAGATAGATAGATAGATAGACAGACAGATGATAGACAGACAGGCAGATGATAGATAGATAAATAGATAGATAGATAGATAGATAGACAGACAGACAGACAGATGATAGACAGACAGGCAGATGATAGATAGATAGATAGATAGATAGATAGATAGACAGATAGGCGGCCAGACAGACAGATGATAGATAGATAGATAGATAGATAGATAGATAGATAGATAGATAGACAGACAGACAGACAGACATACCAGTTGCACTTCCACTTATACTTTGGGCACCCAGGTAGGAGAGGGCTTATTTAGCTCCTCTCCCACCTCCATTCAGATGCTCTCTCCTTCTGCATGTGCTAATTTTAGAAAACACACACAAAGAATGTGTTAGTGAATCTGAGTAACTTATCTTCTAAGTTTGAGAAGAGAACATTTCTTAGAGAAAATAAGCACCAGCATGAGGCAGCCTCTGGCTTCTGAGCAGGGTACCAGCTCCATGTCTCACCACAGTTGCCTCTACAGGGCTCCCAGGGGGACGGGAGGCATGCCTGGACCCTGAAGCATTTCAAGAAGCCCACTTACTGCAACTTCTGCCACATCATGCTGATGGGTGTCCGGAAGCAAGGCCTGTGCTGCATTTGTGAGTAAATGTCCTCCAGGCCTTTTCCCTTGGGCTCTGTTTGCGTTGCACACAGTGAGTCGATCCATTCCAGGGAAGATCTAGGCATTTGTTTCCCAGGTGGTGAGATCAGCCCTAAGGTTTCAACAGCAAGGGTCTAGCTGAGTCAAATGGACAAGGCGTTTGGCGCTGCTGGAGTCACAGACCGCTGGTCTTCTAAAAAAAAAAAAGCAGGAAAGTTCTTACAGATGTTCAAAACACCTCATGCTAATTGCAGTTGTTTCTAGCCAACGCTCATTCCATGTGTGTGTAGAGGTGCTTTCTAATTAGTTAAGAACATATCCTATACCCTAGAAGTGCAATGAAAAATAATACTGCACGCTTACTTCATTTTGTAATCCACTTAGTAAAACTGGAGGGGAAAGCAGAAAAGTCATCACAAATGAGGGACCACAATAGGACTAAGAAGGTGAACACAGAAAGAAGTGGAGGGAAAGGGACAGGAAGAGATTTGGGAAAAGGGGACAAAGAGCAAGAGGAGGTGGGTGGGGCTAAAGCCAGGGGCCTCTGAGGCCAGAGAACGCGGGTACACTGAGCCCTGCTAGCCACCTCATAGGTAGACAGCAGACACCAACTGGAACCCGAGGAGTGGGCGGGCTGAAGATCAAGTCCACCCATCTCTCCAGACCCAATCAAAGGTCGACTCAGCAACATGCTCTCATTCCTGTTAAGTGTGAGACCTCTGGTCCTTGGCTATTTGCATCATCACAGTTACAACAACAATGGCAAGTTGTGGAATGCCTAATCTAACTGTGCACTTGGCGCTTCACACAAATATCTCACCCCCAGAAAAAATCCCTGCCCCAGAAAGAAAGACCAGCTACTGTGTGCACATCTACAGAGGATCCTGAATATCTTATTTCTCTGTCTCTTCCTCTGTCTCTCTTTCTCTCTTTCTCTCTTTCTCTCTCTCTCTCTCTCTCTCTCTCTCTCTCTCTCTCTCTCTCTCTCTCTCTCTCTCTCTCTCTCTCTCTCTCTCTCTCTCCAGGGTTTCTCTGTGTAGCTCTGGCTATCCTGGAACTCGCTCTGTAGGCCAGGCTGGCCTCAAACTCAACAGAGATCCGCCTTTCTTTGCCTCCTGAGTCCTGGGATCAAAGGCATGTGCACCACTGCCCAGTTGGTTCTGAATTTTTAAAGTTACTCAAGATGCTGTGGGCTATGTCCAATAGTGTCCATCAGCCCAGTGGCCACGGCCTTTCTGTCCAATGACTGGCACCCTGACATACAATGCCGAGGCTCCTTCTGAGGTCACTTTTCTGCACAGTCACTGCCATCAGGGGAGTAGCAGAAGCGCCAGAGAAGAGCAGGGAGGGAGGTAGCCGCAGACTGCTCCAGAGCACAACAGCACGGTGTTAGACTTCGGCCAGGCCAACTCCGTATGGCTCTTCTCCTCACTGACCACCCAGAAGGAGAAACAAGCCTTCACTGACGTATGTGCATCAGGGAAGGCGGGCTGCATCGTTCCTTGATGGCATTCATAGCACTGTCCTTGTTCTCTTTTCCAGACTGTAAATATACTGTCCACCAACGCTGCGTTTCCAAAAACATTCCTGGGTGCATGAAAACATACTCCAAAGCCAAAAGGAGTGGCGAGGTTGGTGAAACCTATTGGCTCTTTCTACTGCATGCTGCCTCGGGGACAACATGGCCATCATCACAGATTCCTATGCAGGAAGGGGCTTTGAGAGATCTCTCTAGCTCCTTCTCTGCCGCAAGGACCACCCCTTGGTCATCCCACTCATCCATCAATCCATTCAGCATCTCTCTGAGGCCCACTGCATGTCAGGTGCTATGCCAGGGCATCCACAGGTTATGAGAAGTGGTATCCGGTCCACTCAAATGCTATCCAGGCTATGGAGGCAGATGGACATGTGAGCAGAGTGCAAATACATAGTCGTGAGGTGTGTGTGCTCGTAATATGGCCATGTGGAGTGCGCAGCTGAGGCTTGAAAGAAAAAGTTTTGCAAAGGAGGTGGCACTTGCTTTGTTCTTGGAACCTGGAGAGCCTCATGGGGCATGGAAGAGGGCAGAGTGTACACACATGGAGACATGCCTGATTGTGGTGTGCAGGCATGAGAGTGTTCTAGCAGAAGGAAGCTCCCATGTACAGACATGGAGACATGCCTGACTGTGGTGTGCAAGCATGGAGACATGCCTGACCGTGGCCTGGACTTGGTTCGGAATAGCTGGGTCAGAAGATGACTATAGGGTGATGAGGCCCTACCTGGAAGACGGTTTGGGAGACCAGCTCTGGAATTATAATGCAATCGGGGGTCCAGGAGAGGCTTCAGACTTGGAGAGATGGTGAATTTGCTAAATGTGTGACTGTTTCTGGGGTTGGTTTAGGAGAGAAGCCAGGGAAAGAGTTTTTTCCAGCAGTTATGGCAGCAGGTAGCACTGCCCCAAGGCAGAGCAGATTGGATCTGTTTCCATCCGCCACTTTAGACTGGTTGTGTCTGAGTGTCCCCGACAGAGACGGCTAACAGAGGTAGACAGGACAAAGGAGGGACGGAGTATAAAAAGCAGCTGAGCGGCCCAGCTCCAGGACTCGCCTGTGGATCCAGGAGGATGAGAGGGCGGGAGATGGGGGTGGCTCCCAGGGCTCTCCTAGCCATTGGGTGGTGCCATTTGATGAGTCTGGAATTAGATGGCCCTTAAAACTGAGGGGAGGCAAGCTGCATCACCGCAGAGGGAATACGTAGCTGAGGAATGAGAGATGGCGAGAAGGTGGGTGGCTCATAGCCCTCCCACAGAAGGCCTCCTGGGGGACAGCTCCCCGGAGGACTCCTCACATGCATGCCCCACGCATGACCTCTTGTCTCCTCCACACCACTCCTCATACCTATCCCTCCATGTCCATGCCTGACTTGCATCAGAACGCACAGTGGGCTGCCTAGGCCTGGGCCTGCACTCCAGTCACCTGACACAGAGAACAGGGTGACAGTGCTGAGGGGCCAGGAAAGCACACCCACAACCCTGTGAGCCTGCAGGACAACCCAAGTCTCTCACCACTTCTTCAGACAACAGACAGACTGGGGGTGGGGGGGACAACACATGACTGGGACAACAACCATGAGACTTGAGTCAAAAGGCCCAGCTGTGGGTCCCTGTGTGGCTCGTCACCAGCCTGAGAAGCTAATGCCAGTCACTTAGCTGTCCCTCTGCAAATGGAAACCCTAATCTCAGGGCATATTCAGTGTCACCGTGGAGATGACAGATTCACAAAGTGACTTCTTTTATCCTCGGTGACGCAGCTGGAGGTGAGAAGCTACCAGCCAAGTGTGGCACATCTTTCGGAGCAATGAATTACAGCAAAAAATACCCTGGGTGAATAGTATCACACAACTGCTAAGTAATTTTAAACATGTACTCTTGTTTAATGCAAATAGGATGATGTCATGTAGGCATTTTGCAAGTTTCTAATATAGTTTTTGAGGCTGAGCCCATCAAGATATGTCCCCTGTTTGTCACATCTTTTCTCTACTGTAGCTCAGGGCACTTTGGTGGAAAGTCCTGAGTTCTGTGGGACTCCAAGGGGTGAAATCTGAGTTCAGAGGCTCCCAGACAATGGGTCAGAGGTTCCCAGAGGCATGCTGGTGGCATTTCCCAGCCAGGTAGTTGCTGCATCCAGCCAGATGGCTAGGAAATGAGTATGAAAAGGACCCTCTGGTACCCTGACTCATCGCCTTAAATTTTAATGTAGCTTCTTGTGGATTGTTTTTCTGCTGTCATTACATGTGATAAGCACTCAGGGCACTGTAATGCATGTGAATTTAACTCACACAGGGACATTTAAATCAAATATCTGGGACCCCAACCCCAGAGACTCATTCAGGTGATTGTAACAGACAGCTGGGGGCGAGGAAAGGGACCCGAGGTTGTAATAGGATGTAGCAGGGAAGACTTGCAAATTTGATGTTTCATTGCATCCTCCCAGAATCCCAAAGGTGCCACATGCTAGCGTCTAAAGCCTCAGAGAGGTTCCAGAACCCCCAAAGGCACCCTGCTGTGAGGTGCCAAATGGGTGACTCCCATAGATTCGGTCTGAACCCCAGGCCTCTGGCTTCCACTGCACCGCTCTGCCTCCCGGAAAAGGGTCCCCATGAGGACCCGGATCGCCAGTGAGTTCTGCAAGGCAGAGGGGTGGCGGGTGAGATGTTTACCTGCCCGGGTGGGAGCTGGTACAGGCAAAGTGGAGAAGGATTTTAATCTGCTTTGTTTAGCTCGGTGGCCAGGCAGGAAAGAACTCTGCATCCAAAACTCTTCCACTACTGAGGAAACAGGGCCCTCTGGGCTCCTCGCGCCTCCCAGTTCTTTGTACCCTGGGCCCAGGGGCGTGGTTCCACTGCCTTCCCTGGTATCCTTCCCTTCCCTCCCACAGGTGATGCAGCACGCGTGGGTGGAAGGGAACTCCTCCGTCAAGTGTGACCGGTGCCACAAAAGTATCAAGTGCTACCAGAGTGTCACCGCGCGGCATTGCGTGTGGTGCCGGATGACGGTGGGTCGGTGCCCAGGGCGGCCCTACTTCTCTTCAGTGTGGGATTTGTTCGAGCTATAATAGCCTGGGGCAGTGAGCATCCCTCCAGAGGGCAAGTGTAGAGCGAAGGAACTTACTCGCCTTAGTGAAGAGGGTCCCAGAGCCCCATTCAAGTCTCTCAGCCTCCAATGACTCCTCAAGTTGCCCAGAGAGAAGGTCTGCAGAAGTTGGCTAACCCCCCTGGGAACAGCAGGCTAGCTTGTGAATGCTCCTTCACCTAAGGCTGGGATACCTGCAGACCGGAACAGCGATTGGATGCTGGAAAGCTCACTCTCCACACATTAGAGTTAAAACTTGGTCCAAAGGCACATTCCTCTCAGCAGCACCCCAGCTGTCCCAGAGGCCTGAGTCCACGACTTCTGAACATGACAGGTGCCACAGGGCTGCTCAGCCTGCATCCCAAAGCTAATTCTGAGCAGTGTCTTGTGCCCCAGCTAGGTACCAGCCCTAAAGAGGAGGCTAACCTGAGCCAGACAGGGACTCTGGCAGTACAACAGTTCAATTAACTCATACTCCAGCCTCCCACGGTTTTATTCTCAGAGGCAGCCTGCCTTCTGAATGTCTAAACCAGTAACCCAGGGGCATGGGTGTAGAATCCACACAGAGGGTCACACTTGGAGGGTAGCTCTTGGTCTCATTTCTATGCCCTGGTAGACATGCCACATGTTCACACACATACTCAACAGTCAGAGCCAAAGCTGGCAGTGCTCCAAGACTCGGGGGCACTAGACAGCTGGCGTCCCCAGAAAACCTCTGCACCCACCTTCCTGATGTTCCTTCGGTCACTTCTGCTCATCCCCATCTCCATTTTCCTCTCCAGTTTCACCGCAAATGTGAATTATCGACGGTGTGTGATGGTGGGGAACTCAAAGACCACATTTTGCTGCCTACCGCCATTTGCCCAATCACCCGAGTAAGTGGCCCCGCCCCCACCAGGGTCAGAGACAGGCAACATCAGCAACTTCACATTCCTCAGCGTTTCCCCAGCAGTTCCTAGGACTTATGCTTGGGCGAATGTTGAGAAGTCAGTGTTGCCCCAGCCAGACTGAGCCAGAACTCTCTGACACCTTAGCTTCCAACTGCTGCTCCCACATGTCCAGAGCATCCCTTCTGAGCATCTTTCAGGCAGAGCCCAACTCAAGGGGCCACCTGCCCTTGGCCAGGTTTCTTGGCCTCCCTCATCCCTGCCAGGCTTTCTCCTGTGTTCACACATAGATCTGCTCTCTCTCAAGGGCTCCTGCCTGAGTGTCTCTGACATATTTGGAAACAGATGATGATGAATTGGGCCCCCTTGGCTCCCAGCTGAAACCTTTTCTGCCTCATGCAGACTGCACTTCCATCTCTAACTGTTGCCACTGACTCCTCCCCTCTCACCCCTGCCTAGAGCAGATGCTTCTTCCTCACTTAAAATCCTTTAAGGAAATGGCCACTCTGTAAATCCATTTGTCAGTTCCCATTAAGTCAGAAATACACAAACTCCATACCCCCCAAACTCCCCTCCCGTGGAGAAACCCAGACATTTATTCCATCAAAAGGCAAGGGCACAGCTATTCACAGCACTGGTGACTAAGCTCAGGTCATGTAATGAGTCACTGTGGTGTAATAGGAAAGACAAACCATGCAAACGTGAATATGCTCAAAGATAGAAAGCTAAACAAAACACAAAAATTAGGTGCATGGGGCTGGAGAGATGGTGTGGCCATTAAGAGCACTGACTGTTCTTCCAAAGGGCCTGAGTTCAATTCCCAGCAACCACATGGTAGCTTGCAACCATCTATAATGAGATCTGGTGCCCTCTTCTAGCATACATGCAGACAAAGCACTCAACCGTAAAAATAAATAAATAGACAGATAAACATACAAATAAATAAAAAATTATTTTATTTAAAAAATTAGGTGCAAGCATGCTTCATTATTCTCTTGATAAAAAGTTTGATGATCAGGTAAAGCCAGAGGCATCACACACACACACACACACACACACACACACACACACACACACACACTGTATCACACCATGCAGTTTACTAGACAGACTTCAACAGAATGAACTTTGAAACAAGAAAGTAGAACAAGAAAGGAGAGGAGCAGTAGCCACACCATGATGTCAAGTCCTCCTGAGCAGGGAAACTGAGAGCAAGGTCTGCTTTTAAAAACCACAGCCAGCTACCTTTCTGCTATTTCAGTCCCTACCATGTCCTTACCATGTCCGGAGGTGACAGTCACCACAGGTGATGTAATCACAGGTAACAGTCATCACAGGGGCCTGTAGAAGCCTAGAGAAACTTGCGGGGTGTATTTTTTTCTGAGATCCCAAGTCCCACTTTGCAAACCTTACAGTTCTCTACCTGTGTAAGCTCTTTGACAGCCATTTCTTTTAATGCCTTGGTCTTCTCTTGTCCTTGAAGTAGGCTTTTTCCCTCTTCAAAGGTTGCTTGTGTTCTCTCTCTCACAGGACAGGCAAGGAGGGAAGTCCGAAGGCAGCGTGGCCCCCAAGGGCGAACTTGTAACGCAGGTACCTCATGAGTGAGCGGTCCAACCCTCATTCTAAGGGGGTCCGAAGGCTGGGGCAGGGAGCGGGGCTTGGGTTCTAAAGAAACGTGTCTCAACATGTGCTTTCTCACCCACCAATTCTGTCACACAGGGGGACATTTACCCGGGCCCCTGGGGTTGACCTTGACTGCCACACTGTAGGCACGTGGTGAGAAAGGTGATTGACTGATGTCATTGATGGCCTAACTGGCTTTGTCACCTCTTTAAGAGAAAGCTACATGGAACCGCAACATGCAGATCTCTTAGACAGTAACAAACGTGCAGGGTAAAACTGGACGGCGGGTTTTCTGTAGTTGTCCAGCTCCCTCCAGAACACGATCTATCAAAATAAGTGAACAGGAGCCAAAGGTTCTTGGCCCTTACGTGTGTATTTAAGACCTCATTTTTCTCTAAACATCACCAGTGAATATTTTTTCATGTTCTCTATAAAGTTCTGAGGAATGCAGAACAGGCAGCCTGATGAAGTACAAAAAATGGCAGAACAGGAAATAGAAAATTTGGGTCTTATCCTCTGCCTGCGTTTCTGTCTCCTTGTTTTAAGAGTGGGTTTAGCATGCCCTGCAACGGCCTGCCTCCCACCATGCTGTAGACTGAGAACCATGGAGATCATGTGTTTTGAAATTACAAAATGAACTGAAATGAAAATGCAAAATAAAATAATGTGGATGAGATGAGAATGCTCTAGACACTCAAAACAAAAGGCTCTAGAAACCAAGAAAAGAGTCTAGACACCACAAAGCAAGGGGTCTAGACATCTAGAAAGGAAAGCTCCAGGCATCTAGAAGAGAATACACACACACACACACACACACACACACACACCACACACCAAGGACAAAAGACATAAGTTGTCCCACACTAGCATCCATTGGGCTGTTTTGACGAGCAGGTCCCATGTAGTCTGGGCTCTCAAGGACTTTAAATATCATCCTCCAGACTTAAGGGCTTACTACCCAGCCCCAAGATGCTTCTGAGTATCACACAATTACCCTAAGACAGGAGAATCCTTTGAAATCATAAACAACAATAACTGCACTTTGCAAACCTGTCATGTTGTGATAGGTGGTTGTGACGTTTAACAAATGCAGGCATTAAATATTGAACATGAAGCCAGGCTGTATCTCTGTATGGGAATATCATTCTGTTGGATCCACAAAAATTATCAAGGGCCCATTTGTGTGTCAGGCACCTGGAGCCCACAGAAGCTCCACTCTGCTCCTCGCCTTTTCTGATCTACCTGATGACCTGAGATCTTACCCAGAAAATGAAAAGACAAATATAAACGCTCCAGGGGATACTGCACATTTCACATTGCAACAGCTTTGGTTTCAGTGATTGAGAGCAATGTCACAGTGGTGATGGCTCTGGAACTGGGTCCTGGGTTATTCGGGATTTCTTTAAGAAGTTACAGAGGGGAGAGCATTTCAAACCATGGGACAAGAGTAAACGAATATGAGCCTGTGCATAGTTAGACACACTCACTGGAGGGCAGGCAGCCGGCTTCTGGGCCTGTTGCTGGGGGAATGGGAGGAATGAAGAGAGAGCAGAAGAAAGGGGAGAGGTCGTGAAGGCCTTGATGCCAGGCTTCGAGATTTGGATTTGATCCTGAGAGCAACCGGGTGTCATTGCCAGTGCTTAGCAGGAGTGCCATGCTTGATGTAGACTCCCAGAAAGGAATTGGAGTGGGGGTGTAAAGCATACAGCTGGGGGTAGAAAAGGTCTCAGTAGCATGGGGACCATGAGTGGCTACAAGGGAAATCCTAGGGAAGGACTTGGAAGGTCAGGATCTCTCCTGGATGCCCAGTTCAGTAATCATACCTTTAGCAGGAGCAGCACGCCAAGCGGGAAGACCGGTTTTATGGGACATGCATGTTGGTGCGGTAGCAATGGCAAGGCAGCCACTGGAGAGTGAGACATGCCAGCTTAGGAGGAAGATGGGTCAGGATACATGTGCATTTGGAAGGTGCTGGAACCGGAGTGCTCGTGGGCCTCATTCCATTGGTGTGTGTGACTTGGTGGGTGCACCCTCACCGTGTCCCTCACAGATTATGACCTTGTGCCTTGGGAATAACGGCACACGATAATTTGGAGCTGGTACCATTGCTCCATCTCTGATCTCGACCTCATTGCCATTAAGCCCCTTGAAAGTCTCTCAAGATGAAGATGGGTATTTTCTCCCTCAGGAAGCTCAGCCAGCAGACAAACAGCCCCGCTCCTCTCCTCCCCACCTGGGCCTGCTCCCCATCCTCCCTCTGAAGCCGGTTCAACATCATCCTACCGCTGAATAATACTCATTTCTTTTTCTTCTCATCTTCAAGTATAAGATCATCCCTAGCCCAGGAACTCACCCCCTGCTGGTCTTGGTGAACCCCAAAAGTGGAGGGAGACAAGGAGAAAGGTATGTCCTCTTTTCCTTCAAAATAGAAAGGCAGCCAGGGATAATGGTGCGCACCTTTAATCCCAGCACTAGGGGAGCAGAGGCAGGCAGATCTCTGTGAATTCCAGGCCAGCCTGATCTACAAATGGAGTTCCAGGACAGTCAAAACTGTTACACAGATAAATCCTTTCTCAAAAAACTAAAAACAGCAACAAACCAGAAATGCTAAAACAACCTGACCTGAACCCCTTCCTCCCCCTCAGCCCCACCAAAGTAGACGTTCGGGTCAAGGAAACCGGGGCTCACGGCCACTTCTTAACCTGGCCCAGTTGAGTTAATGCCCTGGGCCTCAGTTTCCTCCCCTATGACATAGATGGCAATGACACCACCTTCCACAGAGTTACCTTAAGGAAGAACAGACCTAGTGCTTAGCTGGGGACCTGTCACATGAGCTCCTGTGAAGGCTGCCAGAGTCAGGTTCGCAGGGGTCTGTCCCTTCCTGCCCCGCCCAAGGTCTTTAGAGGTTTAAAAGATTTGTTGAGGCCCACTGATTAGGGCCTCCTGGCCTATCTGGAACCCCCACCTTATCTGTGAGGGAAATGCAGGGTTTGGGCAAAAGTAGCTGATCAGAGCAGGAGAGCTGGGGGCAGGTAAGACCATGCTGCCTCCCGGGCATGCTCAGTCTGGGAAATGAGCAGATGGACGGGGAGCAGGAATTCAGGTTTAGAAAAAACGACATTAGGGAGGGCTCAAGCAAGTACTATGAGGACCCCATCTCTGTCCAAGTGGCAAGATGCCTCCTGACCGGGGTTGGAGAGATGGCTCAGAGGTTAAGAGCACTGACTGCTCTTCCAGAGGTCTTGAGTTCAATTCCCAGCAACCACATGGTGGCTCACAACCATCTACAATTCAATCTGGTGTATATGTAATAAATAAATAAATCTTTAAAAAAAAAAAAAGATGCCTCCTGACCTAACCTAGTAGTCCCAAGCTAGAACCTGGAAACCAAGCCAGACTGTCACAGCCATCAGTTTTCCAGCGCCACCTCCTCCTGCGTGAACTCTTATGCTAGACCCTCTCCCTAGGGTCCCCAGTGCCTCTGGAGAGTCTACAGAGGGCAGGCTCATTCTACCCACTCAACACCAGAGGTCTCCAACAGGGAGGAAGCTTGAGAACAACATTCCCGTTCTCTGGGCTTCTCTGCCATAGCTGCCGCAGTAAGCGGTTGCTGGGGTGGGGCTGGAGTCAGATGCTGGGCAGCTTTGGACCAGAGGAAAGGATGTGGGCACACCAGTGCACTGGGATATCCCGTGCCCATGCAGCATTTCCCCTCTTAGGTTTAAGCATCACAGACAGGACCAAAGCTATTTGTCCCCAGGAGACTTGGGAGACTTCTGCTGTACTGATTTCCTTCTCACCACTCTTTTTTTTTCCCCCATAGAATTCTCCGGAAATTCCACTACCTACTCAACCCCAAACAAGTTTTCAACCTGGACAATGGGGGGCCTACTCCAGGGTATGGACATCAGTCTCCTCTCTGCCCTGCTTTGGTGTCTGAAGAAAACTCCCTCCTTCGTCACTTTTCTGCCCACCAAATGCTCTCCTTTCTTTTCTCTCATCTTCCCTTGGTCCTGGTTATTGTTTGGGAAGTGGCCCCATGTACCTTGTCCCTGGAGGAGGTGTTGATGTCAGAGGGAAATCTATAAACCAGTCATTGGGCTGACAGGAAGGTCAGGCTGGTAGTCTATTTGAACTTACTTTCGAGGCTGTTAGCTGATATCTCCGTGGCGCTCTTGATGCCATCTCTCTCCAGATTGGCATCGAGACTAAGTCTGTCATGTGTTCTGCCATGGGAGGATTCAGTCAAGGAAACCATTCTTTTCCTGAATCATGCAATTTAGCAGTGACTGCACGCCCCCTGACCCTTCTCCCACCTCCCTGCTCTCTAGCAGAAGGTTGAAGGGAGGTTAGAGGGGAGGGGCAGGCCCTCTGTGACCCTCACTCTGGTGGGTGAACTTGTCCTCTTCATCAGAAATCTCAGTAGGCTTGAAGTCATCTTCCCAGTCAGAGCTGGTGCCCTGGCGCCCTCTGCTGGTCTAGGCTTTCACACCTCCTGACCTGCATTTCTACTCTACATTCAGAGATTCCTCCCAGAGGCGTGACTATAAACAGAACCTGTCCCCGTCTTTTGACTGTCTGACACGGGGTTATTTATAGAGACAGACGTACAAGACCCAGTTAAAAGGAGAAAGACACACGGGTGCATATTCACCTATCTGAAACCTACTCCAAAGTCGGTCCGTCCGACTGTTGCAGTAGCCCTCTTGGTCATGTGTCTGCTGGTTATTGTTGGATAGCACCACCATAAGCCAAAACATCAGATGCCTTTTCGACCCCTCACTCTTGGAGGGTATATAACACAGGGTTCAATAGCACAGGCTTCTCAGCCTTCAATTCTTTTTCCTATGAATGGCAAGCTTGAGGTCTTCTTCCAGATCTGATGGTCTAGAGTGCATGTTCTGCAGACAGGCTGCCCAGCTGAAGGGAGCCTCCATTCAGAAAGCACTCTGCAAGGGAAGTGAGAGAGGATATTGACTTGGCAACACCAGCATCAGTGCTCAGAGCAACCCCTGGCTGAGAAGGGAGATTCCTAAATTGCACCTCAAGGTGTCCACAAGTCCCATTTTCTCTCTTCTTGACTTTTTCTGACAGGAACTCCTGTCACAATCTGTTGGACTGTGGACTCCATCCAGAACAGTATTTTCTAATGCAGAATGTGAAATAATATGGGATTTCCATGGAAACTAATTATGTTGAGAAGTAGTTATCAAAAGCTAAAAGACAAACTTGTGGTATGTAAATGAATATGTTCTGTCAACATATTAAAGAGCAATATCCACAGTCGAGTTAAATGATGACTGTAAACTGAAAGCCACAAACTACAGAAATGAAGGCATGTGACCTGCGGTACAGCTGTAATGAGCCATGGAGGAGCTGTGGCGTTCACACTGACAAAGTTGCAGGTGCTGCCTGGGCGGTGGTGGCGCACGCCTTTAATCCCAGCACTCGGGAGGCAGAGGCAGGCGGATCTCTGTGAGTTCGAGGCCAGGCTGGACCGACAGCCTCCAAGACAATACAGAGAAACCCTGACTCATAAAAACCAAAAAAAAAAAAAAGTTGCAGGTGCTGTCGAAGCCACTGTGGTCTGTTGCCTACATTCATAATTGAAAGAAATGCTAAGTTTCCATTAGAGATTAGAGACAATATTGATGTAATATTTTCTCTTCCAAGTTCATAAAACTCTGAATTCTGTCCACAGACCCACTGGAGGTCAGTGGGTACCAGGTCCTGCTCCACAGGACTCTAGCTCCTTGTTCCCCTTGGTGGGGGGTCAACAGAAGAGAACATGAAGACCCAGAGAATTAAGTGCTTCTCTTAAAGAGGTGGTTATAAAGACACCAATCAGGAGGGCTTGAGAGGAATCAAAATACTAGGCATTATCTGAATTGGTGCCAAAATGTAAAAGCTGAATTTCTGAAATAGTTGAGAAATTCTCAGAAATGGTTTTCTGTCTATGTTTAATGTTGGAGCAGATTCTCTCTCTCTCTATTAGGATGTTAGTGTATGCACACACACATACACACACACACACACACACACACAATTATCCCATTGATTTTTCCCCATACTTGGTAGCACTGCATAGGAAATTCTGGATACAGAATGGTAAGTGACTCTTCCAACCCCAAAGAATCAAGATCTTTGCCTAATTCCTGGGAACATAGAGACTCTGACTCAGAGGTATCAAGTGTTAAAACTGGAATGTAGTTCACTGATAGATATTTTGCTTCATAGGCTGGAAACAGGGGTTTAGTCCCCAACACCACACAAACGCATACACACACACACACACACACACACACATAAATGTTAGTCACAATCTAGTAATAATACCACTGTGATCTTTCTTCTTTCTAGATTGAACTTTTTCCATGATACCCCAGACTTCCGAGTTCTTGCCTGTGGTGGAGATGGGACAGTTGGCTGGATTCTGGATTGCATTGGTAAGAATGGCCAGGAAAGCCTTTACTTATTATTTATAATGGGTACATTTAAAGTCAGCAGAAAGCAATGAACTAAAGAAGGAATGGAGCCGTGCCTTGTCCATCCAGGTGCCCACCCTTTCCTGTACGGATGCTTGATTAGATATGGGGGTGGGGGAGGTTTCATTGTGGCCTTTGTATTTAAGAAACAAACATATCTGCCTGGATAGACCTGGGCAGTAGCAGAACAAGACAGACTTTAAGCAGGACTAGAGATCCAGAGCCACGTGGTGGAAATCTGGGGATGAGGTATAGTCAAGACCTAACCCAAGCAGAACCAAGGTGAATTCTGCAGACTCTGCAATAGGGAACAGAAAGACGAGAAAGCTGCCGCCAGAGGCACTGGGGCAGGCAGACATCAAAGTTAGAGAGGCAGGACCAGAGCCATGAGCCCAGGGCTGCTTTGTGTCTTCTGTCAGTCACCACACAAATACAGCCTGGAATCCCTAGGAGCCAAGCCCTCCGGGAGTCACTAGAGATGCCACCAGTGTCCTAACGGAACCCATGAGGCAAAGCCAGGCCACAAAGAAATGAGTGAAACGTATAGAACATCAGAGGGCAATAAGATGTAGGAGGAAGGAACAAAAGGGAGCCTAGAGGAGAAGTGGGGTTGCAACCTGGGAAGAGTCGGGAAGAGCTCGCAGGGCACAAAATGATGCTGTTTCCTAGAACTGGAGAGGCAAGCTGTGTGGATGCCTAAGAGGGTGACACAGACAAAATAAACAGCAAGGGCCAAGGCCCGCAGGAAGGACTAGGTTGGGTTGCTAAAGGCAGACGGGCGTGGCCGAGAGCAGAGCGTACAGAGTGCACACAGGACGCAGCTCAGAGGTTGAAGCAGAGGCAATGAGGTCACAAGGGTAGGTATCAGGTAGAACTTGGCTCTTGGAGTGGGACAGCCCCGAGACATCAGGTGCTTTTAAGCTAAGAAGGAAAGCGGCATGCTAATCACAACAGAAACAATGAGGCCAGGTAGGAGGCTCCTACAGCGACCCAAGTGAGAGGTGACCAGGGCTGAGCCGCAGTGGAAACAGGAAGATGTGAGGAGTGCATGGTCTTGTATGTCTGTATGGCGTGGGGGCAACAAGGTCTGCTGACACTTGGGACACGGCTGATCAAAGGATGAGAAGAATCAAGGTTGGCCGGCATGAGACCCCAGCCAAGTCAGGCGGGGAAGGCGAGGCCTTCAGAGTGGGAGGGGGAAGCCACACCAGCCACCTGCTGCTCCCCTACGGTCAGGCTGTGGTTCCCATGCCCCCCCACACACACACCACTCTGCTGCCACTGTGGACTCTGAAGTTTCCAGGAAGAGGAAAGACTTCCATCTAGCAGCTGTGTGAGGAAAGGCAGCTCATGGTTGCAGTCTCCGGGCTCTCTGCACAGTCCCTTAGTACCACTCATCGAGAGGAAGAAAGCAGCCCTTGGAGAAACACTACACAAAATCCCTCTGCAGAGAACATTGGAGTCGGATATAGCTCAGAAAAAAAGAGATATGTGAGATGAAAGGAACACTAGACTTTTTCACACAGACTGATGGTTCAAAGAGAAGCAGGGAAGAAAAAGGTGTAGTGAGAGGCTCCCTTCATTCATCGTTCAAGGCGTGGGCCGTGATCTCCACCACTCCACTGAGGTTCTCGCTCCCGCCTCCCCCACGCTTAGCCTAACATCAGTGGGTTTGTGGTGTGTATAAAGACACCAAACGCTTCCTGTGGGTCTTTGGAAACGATGCTCTTCTAACAACGCGCAGGGCTGAGGTGGTTGAGTCATTGCTGTCCCTCCCCTCCTTGTCTGAGGGAGTCAGCCACCCAGCCCTGCTCCCAGACCCTCCAATGCAGCTGTCTTCCTCCACACACAGCCTTTCCAACCGCTCCTCCCATCCGGAGTGCTCCCCAGCCTCAACTGAAGTATAGCTTCTGGGGTGAGGGGGACTCTCGTACATACCAGCCAGCCACAGTGACTGCAAGAGGGCCATTTCCCTTTCTAGTAAAAAAAGACACAGTCGTGCCGGGCGTCGGTGGCGCACGCCTTTAATCCCAGCACTCGGGAGGCAGAGGCAAGCGGATCTCTGTGAGTTCGAGGCCAGCCTGGTCTACAGAGCGAGTGCCAGGACAGCCTCCAAAACTACACAGAGAAACCCTGTCTCAAAAAACCAAAAAAAAAAAAAGTGTATTTTAAAAAGGCACAGTCGTACATACGTACGATCTCAGGCAGCATATCTCCACTGCAGACTGTAGTCACCATGAGAGCCTGACCAGGGCCACCTCCCGCCGGATCTGGTTTATGGCAGGACTCAGTGGAGACTCCATGGCAAATGAAATGCACTCTCCCGGGAAGTCAAAGTCCACTCAGGGAACAAACAAGTGAGCAGTTATAAGAGAATATGATACAGTCACCATGTTCCAGGAGCGTAGAAGAGTCATCAAGTGTAGGCCCAGGTGACAAGAGATGGCTTCTGTGCTGAGAAGCAGGAGTGTTAGGACTGAGAACGCTTCTGGATGGTCTCCTGGTAGGGCGGAAAGCTAAGCATGAGGAAGGTCAAGGCTAGGAAGAAAGGCAGGACCTCGATCCCGAGACCTAGCATGCTGAGGGAGCAGGCACTAACGGGGAGATTGCCTTCCAGGGGGAATGCAGGGAACACACTGGAGGCAGAGAGAGAAAAGGAAGCTGTGGAACCAGAACAGTGTGGAGAAATCAACCCTGCACTCACTCAGTGTCTCCATGGGGATGGAGAGAGGAGGTTGCTGGGAAATCTGCTGCAGAGTCAGCTCACAGGAAGTGCTGTGTGGGTGAATGGGTTGAGGAAAAAGGGAAAGTTGGGATGGCATGCAGATTTCTGGGCTCAGTGCTGTAAGGATGGCTAACCTGTCAAGGCGACAACCACAGGAGAAGGGGCAGACATAAAGTCACGTGTCAGGAACAGAATTCATTGCATCCATTTTCCACCTCAGCCCTTCAGTGGTAATCTCAGCCCTGAGATCAGCCACTTCCGGCAAAGGTCAGGCTACTGGTAGTGCCTCTGAACTCCTCTGCCAGGGAAGCCGGGGTTCAAGCTCCCCACACTGATCCCTGCAGCCCTCCCTAACCCCCACTCATGGCTAATATCCTGAACATCTTATAGGGCAGGGTCTGTGTACATGTCTCCTTAAACCTAGTGGGTACCTGTACCTCCCCCTCCAGCCTTCCCTCCCCTGGCAACATGCTGAAGACAAACGCACAGTTGACTGTGGTTTTTCCCTGACGGTTCTGCTCACACTCCTGCACAACCATGAAGGAAAAAAGGCTGGGGATCTGTATTCTGGAAAGCTCAGGAGTCGTGCAATAATAACTGGTATGTGGGTGTCAGGTAACACCTGGAGGCTTTCCTATTTCAGAGCTGTTTCTTTAGCTTTAAAATATAAGGTGGTGAGCTGGGCAGTGGTGGCGCACGCCTTTAATCCCAGCACTCGGGAGGCAGAGGCAGGCGGATCTGTGAGTCCGAGGCCAACCTGGTCTACAGTTCAGAGTTCCAGGACAGGCTCCAAAGCAATACAGAGAAACCCTATCTCGAAACACACACACACACACACACACACACACACACACACACACACACACACACACACACACACACACACACGCTTTCAGTGAGCTCTGTCAGTTTTCCAAAGACCCCCACCACTCCCTGCCTTGCTTAACCCCTAAAGACAACAGGATGGGCTTGAAGCCAGGGAGCTGAGTTTGGATCCAGGCTCTGGAATCACTTTTCCTTCACAAACCTCCATCTTTGCTAGGTTGCAGAGGCAATAAACAGGAACAAATGTTGGTCATCATTAAGTATTAAAATCACATGAGCCAATGTTTTTGCAGCATGTGCTTGATGGGCAGAATTGAGACAAGTTTAGGATAAATAGGCACAAGTTATGGGGAGACAGATTTAGCTCAATATGAAGAATCAGTTGACAACTTTAGCAAACTTGTAGCAGCCAATACCAATACACTGCAAATGCTGTGGATGGCCTCAGCGAGTGGTGTGGTCTCCATTGCAGGAAGGATTCTGTGATTACAGGGGTAGGCAAGCAACAGGTGGGGATTATTAGCTAATGTAGTCATCTGTAACCACATGGCATGTCTGTGCTTCATGTGGGTTGCAGATAAGGCCAACTTCACGAAGCACCCACCAGTGGCTGTCCTGCCTCTTGGAACAGGGAATGACCTTGCGCGATGTCTCCGCTGGGGAGGAGGTGAGTCTTCATGCCTTGATGTCACACTAGAGTCGAGCATTTGGGCTTTCGGGGATGCTGTGCAGAGCTAGGCAGACTTACCTCTAACGGGTCACTTTGCACAGGATGACAGTCAACAACAGTCATCTTTGACCCATGATCCTGCCATTCTGTGCCAGGTCTGGAACAGAAGTCCCCCCTCTAGTTTCCAGCATCCTGCATAGTTGACCATAGTCCTGAAGTCATCAGCTTAGTGCTGGCCTCCTCCAGAAGGACATGGTCAACTGTAGGATGAAGACAAATCTCCTCCAGCTAAGTGCTCGTCCCAATACATGGATCCAGAATGCAGACTGAAATACCGCATCACCAATTACTCATGAGACACCAGGCACATCTGGATTATCAGGCTCCCGGGGCTGTGGGCTTTGATTTTGAAGCTGAACAGAGAGCAGTGATGGCTTTTAGAGCAAGGGTCAAGGACTTTGCAAACAAAGCAGCTAATGGAGCTGGGCATGTACCAGAACACAGAGCCCAGCTCTGCTGGGGAGAGCCAGCAGGCAGAAGACCAATGACTATGGGTGGTTGGTCAATTAAGGGAGCAACACCAGACCAGGCCAGGGCAGCCAGGGCCGGTGTTCTTATGTGGGGGACAAGACAGATGTCAGACCCGAGAGTCATCTTAACAGTACAATTGCCACCACACTGTCCACCTTCCACACACAACTCCCCAGCCCTGCAGCTAACCAGCCTTCCCCTCCCCCTTCCCTCTCTCCCTCCTTTTCCTTTCGTCCAATTAGTGGTATATTTGCTGTATAAAAGAATAAATTTTGTTAAGTCTTTCTCATACACATTTATCCTGTTCTTTAGTATCTACAACCAATACCTTCTCCTGCTCCACATCTATTACCCCCTTCTTCTTCCAATAATCCACCTTCTGCCTTCATGTCAGGTGGGTGGGTGAGTGGGTGAATGATGGATGGATAGATAGATAGGTAGATAGATAGATAGATAGATAGATAGATAGATAGATAGATAATAGATGGGGAGATGGATGATAGATACTGAGATATATGCAAACATGTGTTTAATCTCTATTCCTCATATGAAAGAAAATGGAACATCTAAGTCTAGTTTATTTCACTTACGATAATTCTTAGTTCTATCCATTTCCTGCAAATGACATCAGCTCACTCATTCTCTGGGTCTTGGTTCAGCTCCAGAGCCAGCCTCCAGCCAACACCTATTCCATTCCTAGCTCTCAGGCTTCCACCCTCCCCCCAAACTCTTGCTAATTACTCCCTACTGTCCTCTCCTTCTCCCTGGCTCAGAGAACATAAGTATCTCCAGCCCAAAGACACCCAGAAGTCTTCTCACAAATGCCTAAAGAGTTACTTACCTGCATAAGCAACAGCTTCACCTTTCTGCCTGGTGACACATACCATGCTCTTGTCCACAGGTTACGAAGGGGGCAGCTTGACGAAAATCCTAAAGGAAATTGAGCAGAGCCCCTTGGTGATGCTGGACCGTTGGTATCTAGAAGTCATCCCCAGAGAAGAGGTGGAGAATGGAGACCAGGTCCCATACAATATCATGAACAACTACTTCTCCATTGGTGTGGTAGGTTGGTCGCTGATTGCTTTTCTGCATGACCAAAAGTGTCCATTTACCATTCTGGGCCCTACTCCTTGCCTGTTGTGTTTGTCCCTAGCCCTGACTTGGCTGAGCATCCACAAATCTGAGCTGGTTGTGGCCACCCTGATCTCATAGTGATTCTACCCCTTGACTGTAGAAGAAATTAGAAATTCTTACCCTATACCATTAGCTAACAAAAGAAAAAACCTGGGGTTTTTCTTCAAGTATATCTATCCTTCAGGTAATATGAAACAATTAAAGGAAACAAATGCCAAGAAATAAGGTCAGGAAGGACCCCTGGTGTGAGTGTGCGGATCTGAGTGTCTGGTCCTGGGGAATGGCCATGTGCTTCCACCGGCTTGGCAGACAACACTCAGACTCCTTCCCTCCTGCTCACCCACCTCCTCCCAGCCCTACCACACGCACCCCAAGTGCTTCATACACCCTCGGAGGGTTCACCACCTGCTGACCCTCAGGCTGAGGTCACTGTTCCTCCTTGGTGCTCCTACAGCTGTTATCACAGTCAGTCAGTGTACTTCATGTGTTAGATTAAAGGGATGGCTTTAACGTGCCTGAATCACCTTCCTCCCAAATACAAGTGCATGCTTACACGCACAAGTACACACATTCACACGCTCACGCACACCTGTGTGCACACACTCATGCAAGCACACACACACACATACAGGTGGATGGACAGACAGACACCCGGCCCAGCTAGTAAAACTCAGTTAGGTCAGCTCCTAACTCAGAGTAGGCACTGCTTTGTAGGTTGTTGGGGACTGTATGATGAGCGTATTTTTTAAAAAATGTGTGTATATGGGCACTTTGTCCATATGTATGTCTGTGCCAAGTACAACAGGCACCCACAGAGAGCAGAAGAGGGCACCAGATCCTCTAGAACTAGTTACAGATGGGTGTGAACTGTCATTTAGGTGCTAGGGGTTGAAGCCAAGTTCTCTGGAATAACAGCCGCTGCTCTTGACCACTGAGTCTCCATCTCTCCAGCCCCCCCTTGGGGTATTCTTAAACTGAGCTGACTTGACATGGGGTCACAGAAGATACCGCTTTACTGAGCACCTACTGTGTGCTCTCTACTGTGGGAGGCTTGTGCATTCCAATCTTCATGGCACTCCTTAAGATCATTCCTATTTTACAGAAAGCCGTAGGGCTCTTCAAGAAGCAGACCAAGGATATACTCTCTCAATGCACCCCCCCCCCGCACCCGTCTCATCTCCAGTAGTCTACAGTCTGAGCACCCTTCCTTGCTGCCTCCCCATCTTTGGGAGTGTTTGGCCAATGTCGTGTGCACATGAGGCCCTCCAGGCCATGCCCTGGCACCAGACTGAGGGATACCTAAGCCCCTTTTCTGTGTCTCTTTTGAGACTGTTGGTGGTAAGGGGGTAGAGATGGAGATAGGGCCTAGTAGATAGTACAAGGGGAAGGAGTTTTGCTTTTTAGTAAGGCTAAAACAATGGGAGAGAAAGGGACTAAAGAATAATCATAGCTTACATTTTCAAAAGGATGGGAGAGTCGCCACATTTGTAGCGTTTCTTCTTTGTTGTTTTTATTCTTCTGACACATGGGGAAAGATGGTTTCCTCCATTTTCTGAGTGAAGAAATGGGCTCGAATGAAGGGATTTACCTCCACCTTCTCACTCCTGCTCCAGCTCTCTTTGCTGTGGCTGAAGCAGGCAAGGCATTGTGGGTCCAGGGTAAGACACTGTGAGTGTGGGGGTGATGCACTAGGGGTTCCTGGGTCCTAACTACCTTATGCCTCTCCTCCACCCCAGATTCCCCACAATGGTAGAGGGACACTTTCCCAGGCCGGCTATTAGGGCCACCTCCAGGGAAGGTGCAGACACACACACACACACACACACACACACACACACACACACACACACACACACCTTTCTTATACTCAGGTCCCTCTCCTCTGCCCAGGTACCTTCACCTCCAGACAGTTAGGTGTCCTTGCCTCTGCCAGGCTCCCAGAGTATGGGCGTCCCACCATCAACTTTACCAAACCTCACATCTTTTCCTTGCCATAACCATCATGTAACTCGCTGGTGTCTGTAGAGTGCCTTTGGTGCACCCAGCCCCATTATCCTATTGCGCGCTGCCGCTGTTGCACTTGTGTGAGTCCAAGCCGGTGTGTAATGGAGCTGGAGATCAGCATATTGTGCTCTTGAGCCCCTTAGTTGTGGCCTCTGCACAGCCCCCTCCTTCTTCACACAGTTACAAGCAACGGGAGTGAGGGAGATGGTGCTGTGGCACCCCTTTTCTAAAGGGAAATTCCGCCCTGCACTGGAGTCTGACTTGTAATTTGACTCCATGGCTCTCAGCAAGGTCTGTGATTCTGCATTTTTAACGAGCCCCTGGAAGCATTCTGATGCCGATGATCCTGACCAAGGCCTCGGAGAGGGAATGCAGAAAGGAAATGGATCTGGCACACAGACGTTAGAGTTGAAGCAATGAAAGAGAGGACGTGAGAAAAGAGAGGACGCTGGAGCCATAAAAGCAGCCAGCCAGAACTGATTGCTGAGCAGCGGGATGGGCCAGGCTGCTCAGGAGCTTCCGGTCGGTCGGCAGGCTACAAGCAGGGCTACCTTCAAAACTTCAACACACCTTCCTTTCCTCAACACAGCTCTAGCAGGAAGGAACGCAGTCCCCAGTGCCTGTCTGTCTCTGCCCGGTTGTCCTGTAGATATCCTTCCTTCAACTAGATACCCAGGCCATAAATGTAAGAGCCAGGAATGATGGTTTAAAAGCATTCTTTCAGGAGGAAGGCCAGCAGGGAGCAAAGGGGAGGGGGAGGGCATCATGAAGGAGCGAGGGGAACGAGGAGAGGAGTGGGTAGGAAGGAAAAAGGTTCATTGCCCTCCAAGGAAGCACAAAAAACCATCACCCTCAGCAGCCAACATGTTTGCCCACCTGCCCTGGGCTGGCCTGCAATATTCCGAGGATATCTTTTTCATAGTTCTTCTCATATACCTTACGTTTGTGCACATTTACTGTAGATGAGCAAGGAGATGGGACTTTCTGTCTCATTGGCGTGCCCTTAGCTTTCTCTGTAGAGAATGTTTGCAGGGTGTGTGTTCTCGCTCTTTAAAAGCTGCAAGGTGAAAATCCTGAGAAAACAAGTACCCAGCACACCACCCTGGCAGAGCCTGGGGCTGACATTTGCAGAAAGTCTTCCTTCCTATTTGATTTCCCAAACTTTGTGGGAGAAGTAGGTATGTAAACCAAGAAGGTTTTACCTCCTATGATACTTAAATATAGTCAGACTCTCCTGGCAAGGAGACACCTGCAATGTCTTTGCCTCTAGGAAGGCCTTGCAATGCCTACTGACCAAATGGCTGCTGTCTTCCAACTACAAAGATGACGGTTGTGCCACTGCTGTGGCGCCCCTGGGCACAAACAAAACTCGTATACTAGGTAGAGGGCTGAGGGAGACAGACTCTCCTGGCCTGCCCTGGGAGTCGTCACTGTGGCTCAGTGCTGTCACATACCCACGCACAAGCCCGAATCAGTGAAGATTCAGCTGGTTGTTTTTGTCATCTCTATCTGCAGACATCCCCTGGGAAGAGGTCTCCAACACAGTCATCTAGGACATCACTTCCTGTCACTTCTTCGGCGTCTCCTCCCACTCTCTATTTTTGGATTAGCTGAAAGGTCAGGATAGCCAGGTATCGGTGACAGGAAGTTAGGGACTACGAAATAATTCCTGGAGCTTGTGTAACTCGGAACTCCTCACAGGCTCTCCTTTCAATGAGATTTAACAAATGGTGAGCAGCTAATCCCTTGACATCTATTTTGGATGCCAGAGGGCCACGGGCCCACACGCCATTTTCCACCTTATAGATTGGTGGTAGTGTTCACCTGCCTTGTGTCCCACAATGACAAGTCTCCCTCCCACCAGAGAGGATGTCAGCAGGACAGATGCCTGAAAGCTTAGATTCTGTCAGTGCTGCGTCCTAATCTGTCCCTTGGGGCACTCACTGAGAAATGACTTGAATAAGCCAACCACATCTTTTCCACACACACCCCACATCTGCCATAAATCTTAAAAACAATCCAAATTTCAAATAATCCGCCCTGTGGTCTCTTTCCTCTCTCTGTCTCCAGAAGTTGCCAATGTGACTTAGCCCCGTACTGTCCTGGATGGCAAGTGCAAGCCACAGGTGCCTACTGTATGCCTGAAATGCCTTGCCTAATTTAAGATGTGTGTAAATGTAAAAAAAACACATATCATATTTTGAAAATGAGATATAAAAAATTTAAATATAGCAATAATTTTATATTTTATATATAGAAATGATAAAGTTTGGGGCATGTTGGATTAAAACATTCATAAATTAATTTCATCTGTTTCTTTTTACTTTTTATGTGGCTTGCAGAAACTTCTAAGTTACAAACATGCTATATTTCTATTGAACAGACATTCCAGTATTTCAGAGATCAAATGATAGCATTTTATGTTTGACAGAAAGCCAAAATCCCTCATTCAACCATGTGTTTGAGGTTTTTGGTTGCAGAAGGAGCAGCCCTTGTCCATACTTCATTATCTCCCTTTCAGGCCATCCACATAGAACACACACCAACTGGAGACCATCAGAAATACCACTGCTTCCCCTGGCCTCCCATTCCTGTCACTCTCTCTAGAATGAAGTGTGATTTTGCTGTGGTCATCATCAAGAAAGTTTCTGAACCCATAAAATAAATATGCTACGGTCAGTGCTCAGCACGGAGCCTCTTGGAATAAAAGCAAGCCTCGATTCACTCTATTCCCGGGAGACAAACACGGTCAGCCTTTACACTGCCTTTTGGAAGACAGCTTAGCTCCCTCTTGCTGTTTCATGTATTTGTCAAGAGATTACACTGTCAGATTAGGAGTCACACGCAGAGCTGACGATATTGCAGATGCTGGCCTTTGGAAGAAGAAGCCACACAAAACTTAGTAATGGAAAAACCAAGGGTGATATGCTGTGGGGGTACTTGTACACCGCGTGAAGATGTACTGCTGTGATTATCTTAATCAAGAGCTAAAGGGTCAATAGCTAGGCAGGAGGTTTGGGTGGGCCTTCCAGTCAGGGTGAGGGCACAGGAGGAGATAATGGGGGTCAGGGAGGACGCCAACAAGACCCGGGAGGCAGTGGCACACACGCAGAGTGACAGACAGAGAGCCACATGGTGAAACGTAGATTAACGGAAATGGGTTAGCTTAAGTTACAGAAATGGGTTAGTTTAACTTATGCGAGCTAATTAGGGACAAGTCTAAGCTATAGGCTGAGCTTTCGTGATCAGTAAGAAGTTCCTGTGTCATTTGGGAGCTGGTGGAGCAGAGAAAGACTCATTAGAGTGATAAGAACCGAGAAAAGAGTGTCTGCAATGCTCCAGGAATTAAAACCAGGAGCTCGACCCAGCTGTACAGGGGGTAATAGCAGTGGTGTAAAAATCATGCCGCACAATATACGGATGTTTGTTTTAAGGTTTTTGTTGGGGGGCATATTTTGTTTTGTTTCTAACAGGATAAAATTGGTCCTTCAAAGGAACACAGATGGAACGCTTTCTGGAATTCTAGAAAATCATGTGACAAATGTCACGTGTACCTTATCGGGAGTGTTCCTGGAAACTTGCTGAAAGACACACGGGGGGTGGACAGGGTCTGGACTAGGAAGAGTTGCTGCCAAAGGAGCTGAGTAGGCCCTGTGGGGCCAGGGGGGAGGGGCTACCTGACTGTTGACACCTCCCACCGTGTGTCCACAAAGGAGACTCTATCCAGCCCTTCAGCTCTTGATGAGTCTGAAAACTAAAAGAATAAATCGGTAGCAGACGTTTAACCCTTAAAGTCCCGAGGAATGTGGGTCTACCAACCACAAAGTAAGCCTAGACATGACCTCCCAGATTTCACGTGGTGGCTGCTGGCTGGGGTCACCCTTGTCCCTACGGAAAACCTCATCACACATAGTATGCGCCCCGAAAGCTTCTTCAGTGAACTGCACTAGTCTCTCTTGATGCTAAAAACAAGGTAAAAGCACTAGAAATGGCTCTGTTGTAGAGTTTCCTCATCAAGAAACAGGATATACCCAGCGTGGTAGTGCACACCTTTAATCCCATTGCAAGGGAGACAGAGGCAGGAGGATCTCTCTTAGTTTGAGCCCAACAGGGTCTACATAGTAAGTTACAGGCCAGCCAGAATCACGTGGTAAGAGCCTGTCCCAGGAAGGGAGGGAGGGAAGGAGAGGGAGGGATGGAATATACATTAGCTAAATATGTGCTCCATGGAATTTTAGAGATCTTTCAGACACATAGTGTAGTAGATGTATTTTTGGTTATTTATTGGGTTTTGGTTGGTTGGTTGGTCTGGTTTGCTAAGATATGGTCCAGACCCACCTTGTAGTCCAGGCTGGCCTTGATCCTCTGCCTCAGTCTCCCCCGCATGCTCAGACTGCAGGCAAGTGCCACCATACCTGGAGATTTTCATGTTTCACTGTTACTCCTGAGCAAATCTCACTGTTTCTGGGCTGCACTTCTCCAACCCAATCAGCCAATATATTTCCAGCATTTGGTATCTGCCCCCACAGAGTTAGATGGGGACTGGGTGATAAGGGGCCAGTACACACTCCTCTGCTGGAAAATGCGTTCAGTAAGAAGCACGAAAGGCTAGCCTTGGAGGAGAATTGAGCCCAGCTTTGGGTCCTGCTCTGGACTGTAGACCACAGAGCATCTAAACACTAGTCACAAGCATCGGGGTGGCTGTGATGAGAGTGTGAGATGCAGATCCTCACGGCTAAGACGTTCCAAACTCAGGATGCGTTGAGGTACAGGAAGCCGACAGTGCAGCCAAATCGGGAGGAGGAAGACAGCGAGCGTAAGGAAAGGGTCAGAGATTCTTGCTGGCTTCGGAAGCAGTCCTGTGGTTAATAAGCAGAGGCTAGAAGTGTAATATTATTATCAGCTAAACTTGTGACACAGACAACAAAGGGTTAATGCATAATGGTCTCTATCAACATCAGTTTGGGGTTTTGACAGGGGCTGTGTTATATAAGATGCTAGCACTGCTGGAAGCTGGGTGAACTGGACATGAGAAGTGTACTTAAAAAAAATTCTTGTGAGTCAAAATATTCCTTTATGCCACCACCATCCCCACAGGCTTCTGACTTTGCCCAAGCAGAGCCCCTCACTGTCCTGGAAGGGGAGTGGCTTTCCCTTTGCTCTAGAGCCTACTCTTACCAGTCTCCAAGGAGCTGGGTCACAGGCTGAAAGTGGCTGTTTGCAAGGCCTGAGATACAGGGATAATTCACAGGGCCCTCTGGCAACCGAGCGAGGCTCTAAGAAGACTGAGTGGTGCTGAGCCGCTGTGACTTGGAGTCTCCAGAATTTGGACATTCCAGGAGCGCATATGTGTCCCTTCCCACAATACCTCATGGCCACAACCACTAACCAGGCTTCTGCCTTCTTCTCTTTCCAGGATGCTTCCATTGCGCACAGATTCCACATGATGAGAGAGAGACACCCTGAAAAATTCAACAGCAGGTAAGCGAGCATGCGAGCTGCTGCGGTGGCACCCCGCCCGCCCAGCCCGGTACTGCCAGCAGCGTGGCCTCCCACCTGCTACCACGGAAATGTCCTTGGCCTGGGTCGCCCCGGACTTAGCTTTCCTGCCACGTTGCCGGAAGGAGGGTTTCCATTTCTAAGAAGAAAAAAAATGTGAGAAACCTGCCGCCGTCTGGCTGCCGATCCCCTTCCGTAGGAACTGAGCAGAGGGAGGCGTCTGGGGACGGCATGCGTGGCAAGAAGCCTGCCTTTGGCCACCTGGAACCTCTCCAGGGACTCAGAGGTTTCCCCCCAAAAGCCCAACTTCCCGCAGTCGCAGGGGCTTGGGGAGAGAAGGGCTTTGCTCAGATGCCGGGAGGTGCCAGCCTCCCTCCCAGACAGCAGAGGGCAGCAGAGAGGCCCCTGCAAAGTCAGTAACCCCGGAGGGCACCGGGTGGCCTCGAATGGGAGCCTGCATGCCTGGAGATTGGGTTCAAACATGAAAGAAAAGAGAAAACCACATCAGTTGCAAGTGAACCTGCCTTGCAAAGCGAATGTAATTTACCGGAATCGAAATGTGACTGGCATACAATCACCGGGGAGTTGTCCACTTTCCTTGTCTTCATTTCTCTCCCTTCTTGGGAAAGCCTCATCCAACTCTGTCCTCTGTTGTACTAGTTAATCACGATCATCACTGGATTCCATGCCTAGCCTCGGGCAGGTGGGGAACAGTGGGGTAGCAATCTGGACTTGATCTTTGAACGTAAAGAGATGGTCGTGTATTTAACCCACAGAATTCTCCTCAAAGCAGAAGCTAGAGTGTTATTTGAGACCATTCACTTAAAGCCCTGATTGATCCTCACTCCACAACCTGGGGACTTAGGCAGGGAGTGGCTTGACACAGTGACTTAACACTTAAGTCAGACCAGCAATCAGACAGCCCCTGAACTGTTTTAAGGTTGCATTCTGTCTCACTCAGCCCTAGGCCACACTCACTACAGACATGTGCAGCCAGCCCGACACCATAGTCACCAGCTAGCAATGCCATCCATCCCTCCCTCGGCCTTCATCACTCCTGTACAAGGACGCAATCGCTATTCTTCAATCGCTATACATATTTTATTAGACTATTTACATTTACACTGGAACAGTGGACAGACTTTACGATTTTTTAAGTGAAATATATATCTATCAATGAGAAGGAAAGATGACAGGCACAGAATCCAAGTTCTGTTCCGCCCAAAGCTTGGGGACATTGATATAGCTGTGGCTGAAACTGACAAGACGCGGCCCCAGGCTCGGCTTGCGCCCTGAGTGTGTTTATGCAGTAGGTTCAGGTATAAGGAGCTGGTGTAGGTGACAGAGAGAACCTTTGTCACCCTCAGCGAGGCTGCAAATTCCCGAGAGTCCAGATTTCCTCACACTAGGCCAGCTTACACAAGTGTTTTGAAGCTTTTCTTGTCACTTGAGTCTTTTTCCGAGGTGGCCTTGAGCTCCACCACTGGGTAGGGCAGGATGTAGGTGGTGATCTTTTTGAGAATCACTCCTTTGGGGGCTTTTTCACTGTGCTCCAGCTCGGATCTGTTGTACAGGGTTTCAGCTCTAAGATGTTGTGTGTCTGCCTCTCCATGTCTGAGGATCTGTTTCCAGACCCTGCCAGTGCCTGACAGTCCTTCCGTAGACGTGGTATTCACAAGTGAACAGGCGGCCCCTCTTGAGGACCCTGTGGGCTGTGCGGAGGTGTGCTGCCGCCTCTTAGGAGCTGACTCTGATTTGAACCTTTTGGCAAGAGACTGCCTCTTTCCCACACAAATAGTATCAATTCCATCCTCATCCTCTTGTTCTTCCCCTCCACAAAGACCAAACCCACCTCCTCTCTTCTCCCAGAAAGGCAGATGCTCATCCCAGCAGAACAGCAGCCTCAAGATAGCTTTTTGAAAAACACTCCTGCCCATCCTGCAGACTTTCAGGATCTTAACACACGTACCCTTGCAAGTACCCAAGTCAATGTGTCTGGAAAGATACCCTACGCCTGTGGAATCTGTAGGGTATGCTCATTCATTCATTCATTCATTCACTCACTCAGCAACATCCTTTGAAAATATACCGCAGGCCACAGACCATCATAGAGGTGTCTGGGACAGATGGCCCGGCCCTCACTGCCCCCTGCTGGCAACAGGCTGAAAAGCAAACATGCATACCAGTGTGTGGGAAGTGACCTGAGCAGCCATGATCTAAGAGAAGGGAGAGCACAGAGCTGGGCACGGGGAGTTTTCTAGTGACAAAGATGCCCCGCCCAGGTTAAAGAAATCAGGAATATATGCTACAACTTGATAAGGAGAAGGGCAGTCCCCAGAGAAGGAACGAGATGTATCAGAAGATAAAGAGCATGTTTCGGGAGAAGCAGCCCTCCGTGCAGCTGTTGCTTGGTCCCTGGACATGGAAAGGAAGGTGTCCCTGTCGTTTTAGAGAATAAGGAAGCAAAGTTTCTCCCCATCCCAAAAATTGAGAGGGAGCAACGTGTATGCGGAAGAGAGCCTCAGAAAACCCACATTCTTAAGTTCAATTAGAAAGACAGACCAGTGCGAAGGGGGTCCCTAACGTGCACCGGAGTGTTGAGTATGGAGGGGTTCGTAGTAAGCTGTAGAATTCTTCCCCTTCTCACTCCCCAAGTGTCTTTACAGGACAGCCAGATTTGATGGGGTTCAAGTCTCCTGTTTCACCCCATAAAGATGACAGGAGTATGGATTTGGGTTCAAGTCTATTTGCTTGCTTGAGAAATGAAGTTGTTCAGAGGGAGCCGTTGTTTTACAAAGTCACCAGCCATTTCCTCTGGAGAACTCTGGGTCCATCCGTGCTGCTTCCATTGTGCCTGCTTGCCTGTATCCAAAATACCCAGGAGCATTCAGTTTGTCCTCCGAGAGGCAGGCAAGCAGCCATTTTCTCTAGGCTTCCTTATTTAGCATTGGAGATGGTTTTAAATAGGCAGGTGGTTGTTGCCATGGTTACCTCCATTACACCAGCAGCTAAACTTAGGAAGGGCCACAAGGGAGAGGAAAAAAAAAAACCTGATACCCAGGATTTGAAAATGTAAACCATATTATCAAACAAAGCTTCATTTTACTGGGATGAACTTAAGTTCTTCAAAGAGTGGTTGCTGCTTGGCTGCAAGCCTTTAGCATTAATGCCTAAGACTGGCCCCTCAGGGATAACCTTGATGCTAAATATAGGTAGAGAGTTGTAATTGGTCTGTTTGTTTTGTTTGTTTTCAACAAGAGAGGGCTAGTTCAGGAAACCTGAACTTTCTTTCACATTGCTAGTCAGCGTGGGGGCTATTCTAGTCAATCTTAACCCAGGGCTCCAAAGGTTTCAGGGGTTCTGAGAACATTTTGAAATTGTACCAAAAATAATACTCTGTGTGTGTGTGTGTGTGTGTGTGTGTGTGTGTGTGTGTGTGTGTGTGTGTGTGTGGTTCTAAGGTCTGTAAATCCTAAAAGGCATCAAATTATGATTCAATTGTTGAGGTCTCTTAATGCTTCCCCCCATTGATCTGTCTATACTAGTTGTTGCCAGAGAAAGTAGTAGTTTTTAAAAGCCAAGTGTTCTCTCCTATGGAATAACTCTGTTAATGGAACAAAAGCCAGACCCAAGGAGGTGGTGGGTCTGGCTATCTCAACCAAGTTAGGCTACTGCTACCGCCTGGTCATTGTTCCCGATTTGGCAATGTTATGAAAATTATCGTATCATTGTCAGCATACGGGCACAGAGTTTTAGCTCTACTGAAATTCTAATATGTTGGAAAGTGTTCTAGTGTGAGACATGATCACTGACTTTAAGAAATTCATACTCCAGCCAGGCATGGTGGCACACACCTTTAATCCCAGCACTGGAGAAGCATAGGCAGGTGGATCACTGTGAGTTTGTAGCGAGTCTGATCTATGAGTTCCAGAACAGCCAGGGCTCTGTAAAATAAAAGGAAAGAAATTCACAGTCTAGCAAAGAAGGGAAAATAATCCTCATTTTTTTTTTTTACGAAATTGTTTTTGTACAAAAGGAATTTACACTTAGTAAGCCATGGGCCATGCAGGTAGCAGTTGAGTGCATTAGAGCACCTTATCATCACTCCTCGAAGCTCATTCACAAGCAGACTATGGTTTGAGTGTGGAATCCAAAACAACTAAGATGTACAATTCATCCTGAGCTCCTGCTAGATGCCAAGTTGTTAACTAGTTATTTTATAATACATTAAACCTTACAACTTTAAGTGTTGGCATTCTTGAATCATGACTCTACGTGACAAGGAAACAACCTGGGAGAAAGTGACAGACTACCTTTCAAGCAGTGAGCTTGATTCTAAATTACCTATAAACTCCAGAGTTCAAGGCCCACTGCCTCTCCAAGGGCTCGTTTGCATAGATCAGTGTTCTAGTGTTTCCTCCTGGGGGCTTTACACATGATCCCATTCAGTGTTCATTATAGCAGATAAGGGGGAGTGCTCATGTTCCCATTTTAGAGACAAAGAAACCAAGACTAAGGATGATGGTGGCATTCTTGTTGACTTAGGAAGTACAGGGACATCACTCCTTTTGATCTCGTATAATTTTTCTCCCTACTCTACTGTCCACAGCAAGGAGCAGGACTGGTTCTGGGCTTTGGCCCTGGGCAAAATTAAAACATGCAGTCCCTTGTTCAAAAACTATTAAGAAGTTTGTGAGCAAGCATTAAACTAAGCCCAGATCCGTCCTAAGTGCAGGGCCTGGAAAGACTACACAGCTATCAAGCCTCTGAGGTGACCATGGCAAGAGAGTTGAATTTATTAAAAGGCACATTTGTCCAGATTACAGAGTAGACAATTTACAAAAGAGGAAAGAAGGTTTGAGCTCAGGAGGAGAGGAATTCTCAGTTTTTTAAAGGGGGTCAGTGTTTATAGAAAAGAGGACCCTGGCTCGATCCTCTCAGTAGGTAACTACAGTCCTCACCACGTTTCCAGACTGTCTGGGAAGTTCTGTGTGTCTGAAATCCATTCCTTAAAGCCACCCAATGTCATTGTCACAGTGAGCATGCAGAAAGAGTCTCACCGTGGAGTTGTTTATTGGTGCTTGGGAACTCTGAGCACTGGGGGAATGTGTTGCAGAAACCTGTTGAGTGTCATCCACTTGAGCATGTCCCTCAGCGACTGAGACTGAAGCCACAAGTTACTTCCTGTCAGGCCCTTCAAAGGGCTCACACCAGTGCTGCCCGTAGTTGACCACCTTTCCTAAAAGCTCTCTGGTCGTTAGCAGGCTCTGAAGTATCAGCTTCCCAGGACCAAGGAGCTGATGAGGGGTTCCCAGAAACCTTCATGTAGCTCGAGTCTGTAAACGGTTAGAACATACATTGCAA